AAAAAAAACAAACCCACAATCGCTCGGTTCTTCAGCGAGGGAATGGCAAGGTCTAACCCAGACATGATACAATAAGCAAACTCAACGGAAGACCACGTGCCCGCACACGCAAGAGCCAACGTTAAGCCGCGCACGATGCGATATCGATGAAGTTTTGAGCGCACTGCGAGAGCGCGGGCTAAAGAGGCCGCCACTGCCTCCCGGCCATGTACGGCGATCGCGCTCATCCGGGGAGGCGTGCGCCACATAAACGCGGGGGGGGGGGGGGCCCCTTCGGTGGAAATTAATTTATCTGCTCGCATTCCTGGCGACTGAAGCATGCGAGGCTCGTTCGCGGGTCGCACCCCGCCCGTCGGGTGTCGCGCGGTTCAGCGAGCAGCAGGGGCGCGTGCAGCGGCGCAGGCTCGCTGCCCTAATTAAAGGCCGTACATCAACCGGGGAACATTGACAGTCGGGAACTGAGAGCGACATGGCACTAAGGGTGCTCAGCAGTTTTCGTCTGCGCCACGTGGTTCGGCTGTGCCAGGCGCCGACGTGCGGTGACCTCTATCCATCAGTGCACACAACGACGGCGGCGATGATGATGATAGTAATAATAATGCACGTGACGATGGGGTCACCAAGGGTCACCAAAGACTAGCCAGCAAAAACAACAAACTACTCCTGATCTTGCAGCGACAGTACTGGGCTGTGTGTTAGTGGCGGTGGTGGTGGCGGTGGTGGTGGTGGCAGCGGTGATGGTGGTGTTCATGGTGTGAGGGGGTCAGGCTGTCAGGGGGGTCAGGCTATGAGGGTGATAGGCTGTGAGGGGGTCAGGCTGTGAGGGGGTCAGGCTGTGAGGGTGATAGGCTGTGAGGGGGTCAGGCTGTCAGGGGGTCAGGCTGTGAGGGTGATAGGCTGTGAGGGGGTCAGGCTGTGAGGGGTCAGGCTGTGACGGGGTCAGGCTGTGAGGGGGTCAGGCTGTGAGGGTGATAGGCTGTGAGGGGGTCAGGCTGTGAGGGGTCAGGCTGTGACGGGGTCAGGCTGTGAGGGGTCAGGCTGTGAGGGGGTCAGGCTGTGAGGGGGTCAGGCTGTGAGGGTGATAGGCTGTGAGGGGGTCAGGCTGTCAGGGGGTCAGGCTGTGAGGGTGATAGGCTGTGAGGGGGTCAGGCTGTGAGGGGTCAGGCTGTGACGGGGTCAGACTGTGAGGGTGCAGCGCGCTCATCGCACGCACTCGGCGCTGGCCCCGTGGTCACTCAGTGGTGGGGGGCGCTGGAAGTGGGGGGGGGTGGAGGTGGATGCCGACAGAATTCCCGTGCCAGGCGCATGAGTAAAAGCGCCTCGCAGCTCATCGGGATTGCTCCGGTGCTGATAAAAAGATTCTGACTCGGGAGAGGCGGCGAGTGACAGCGCAGCGAACGGCAGCCTCCTCCGGATCGTCGCACAATTCACTTGCAGAGGCGCGCGCGCGCAATCGCCGCTTCCCTGTCGCACCGCGCCGAGAGACGCCGCGCTACAAATAAACACGCGGGCGAGGTGGCACGGTACCTCACAGTGCAGCGAGCCCCGATAGCGACGCCGCTCTCTCGAGGTGCCGGGGGGGGGGGGGGTAAGGAGATCCCGGGGGGGGGGGCTTACGACTCCCCAAAACCACGCCCACAGATTCCTCAGCGAGTCAACAGCGTGCAGCAACATACTCCTTGCTTCCTTCGGTAAAGTCGCGTAGCTGACTACGCGACTTTACCAAAGGAACCAAGGGGTATGGATTCCTGCAGTCACGCAAAGCTTCGAATCAACATTCGTGCAGCAACAATTTGCTTTGAAACGTCAACGCGCGGGTGCGTTTCCCCGGGTTTCACTTGTCAACATTCACCTACGGAATGTGACGAGCGAGCGATTCCTCACGGGGCGAGACTCCTCCGCCTCCACAGGAACGTGGAATGCACACACGCCGACGCTCGGGGGTTGCCGGGTGGCGCTGCACCACCAGGCACGGCTCCCCTGCGGCGATGTCTCTCGTTGTTCCGTGGTGGCGTCCTTACCACAGCAGCCGGCCGAGAGAGACTTGGAGCATGAGGCATTGGTTGCCAAACGCACATTTGAGCAAGGGCATCTGAGCATCACAATGACGAGTGACTGCCAGCACACGGACAGCGAGAGAGGCATCATTATCAGCAAATAACCTCGGCGTTCACGCGTATTTTGGCGGAAGGATGCACGGCACAGCCGCGGAGCAGCAGCTGCTATGGTATTCTTGGTTCTTTCGGTAAAGTCACGTAGATAGAAAATAAAAATAATAAAATAAAATCTAAAATCAAAGCAAAAAATCTAAGACGTTTCGATCGCATGAAGACCGCTTTTGTTGCGATCGAAACGTCGCGGGTTTTTTTTGTTGTTGCTTTTTTTGTTTAATTATTGTTATTTTCTATCTACGTGACTTTACCGAAAGAACCAAGCATATAAATTCCTGCAGTCACGAAAGTTGTAATTCAAAATGTAGCCGCTATAACGTTGTGCGGCGAGCGAGGCCTGTCCGGGGACTGTTCCGCCGCCTGCCAGCCAGCGAGTGGGCAAGCTGGGGACGTGGGGGGCGTGGGGCGTGGATGTGAACACAATGAACGCGGTGCGCGTGGCGTCTCAATGGGCCCCATTGTGGCCGCGCCAAATCCGCGCGTCAGCCTCATGCGCTCCAGCGGATCTCTCCCTCGCCTGCGCTGCTCCGAGATCCACTCCACCTCCCCCCCCTCCCTCCACCCAGCCCAAACAACGACTCCACCCCACACACACCTACCCCCACCCAGCCCCCACCGTGACCCGCGCGCAGAAGAAGAATGCGGCGCTGTTCGTCTAGAGGAGGAGGAGGGGGGGGATGGTGGAGCAGGGGTGGACCGAGGGTGGAGCCAGCGTGGAGGAGACGCGCCGCGCCGCTTCTGCGCAGCCGGTCCTCTGCCGCCCCCCCGTGGAACCCGTGACCTCTGTCGCGTGACCTCTGTCGCGTGACCTCTGGCGCGTGACCTCGTTGACAAAAATGACGCCGTAGGTGGCACTGTGACTTTAATCAGGACGAAGCACGACAAACCCCCCCACCACCCACCCCCGCGCAAATTTTAACCGCTTTAAAATAATAACGAACGTGTGAGTATTTGAGACTAAACACAGTACGGCGATGACATAGGCAGTGAGACTATCTATTAACTATTTAACCAACTATTGCTTTTTTATTTTACCAGGTAAGGACCACCACTGCGCTGTGTAGCTCTTTTTCAAAAGCGACCTGGCTGTCACAAATGACAGCTCTACGGAGTTGCCGTTTTACGCGGAAATTTACAGCAGTCGAATGCTCTAAACGCGTGACGTTGACTCTAAATGTGGAGGGGAAAACCGGAGAGAGAGCACGGGGAGAGAAATATACAGCAGGCGTCAGGGTCGGGATCGAACCCACGGCCTCCTGTAAACCAGGCAAGGTAGTTAACATCTCCTAGCCACCGTGATGATGATGAGAGAGAGACACGCAACTCAAAATATACAGCAGCAGCAGGCGTCAGGGTCGGGGATGAACCCACGACCTCCTGCATTTCAGGCAAGGTAGTTAACATCTCCTAAACACCGTGATGATGATGAGAGAGAGAGACACGCACACTCCAAATATACAGCAGCAGGCATCAGGGTCGGGGATGAACCCACGACCTCCTGTACACCAGGCAAGGTAGTTAACATCTCCCAAACACCGTGATGATGATGAGAGAGAGACACGCAAACTCCAAATACACAGCAGCAAGCGTCAGGGTCGGGGATGAACCCACGACCTCCTGCATACAAGGCGAGGTAGTTAACATCCCCTAAACACCGTGATGATGAGAGAGAGACACGCAAACTCCAAATACACAGCAGCAAGCGTCAGGGTCGGGGATGAACCCACGGCCTCCTGCATACCAGGCGAGGTAGTTAACATCTGGCCACCGTGGCGACCGGGGCGTGGCCGCTCAGAGCCGAGCGGTGGCGGTGTTGCGCCACGGGTAGAGAGCGCCAATGGAGCGGGGTGGCGGTGCCCCGGTTAGAGGGCACCGCGACATTCCGGGAAACATTTGGGGCAACACATCTTAAACAGATACATAGCTGTGCGGAAACTGGATCGGAGCCCCTGGCTCATCAGTCCAGACGTCGTGCACGAGTAGCGATGATGGCGATGATGACGCATTCTCGCTGTGGCTCTCAGCCCCCTTGTGTGCACGAGGACATGGGTCCAGCACCCCTCCCTCCAACGAGCGTGCGGGCAGCGTGTACATCAAATTATCGCTCGGTTCCCCTCCTTCACTTGACCACGAGGTGAAGTGAAACCATTGAGCCGCACGGGAGAGGGCAGTGTCGCTTTTGTCGCAGTGTGTGTGTGTGCGAGCAATCATTATCCTGGGGAGTGGTCGTGTAGTGGTTAGCCTGCCGCGCTACGAACCCAGCGACGCCATTCCCGCTCACGGCCAACACCAGTGACGATTATCTGAATCGGTCCTGGGCCTCCCCCAGGTCAACTCAGCCTCAAATGCGTACCTGGTGGTGACATCACCACTGGGGAGACAAAGGCGGCCGGGCGTGGTGTTGGCCACCCACCCTTTGGTGTGCCGTGTCGATCTTCATAGGTGCTCGTTCACAGCACTTGCCCCAACAGTCTGTTACAGGCTATACGGGGTATATTTATCTTGGTTTGCAGTCACTATAACGCGTGGGGTCGAGACATCACCAGACTCCCAAGAATTTAGAAGGGGAGGACTGCACCTACAGCTCCGAGGGGAGTTGGGGTCAACCCCTATCAGCCCCCCCATCCCCTCCTCAACACTGCGGGGCTGGGACCCACACTTCCAGCAGCAGCAGCAGCCCCCCATTCCTCCTGGGTGCTGTTGCTGGCTGTTGCTGGCTGCTCCGTGCTGCCTGCAGGAGACACCGGCGAGATGCGATGTCCTCTGGGTGTGACGATTACGCCGGGGTCTCCCATGCGCGCTGCGTGACACTGTGCGATGTCCCGGCAGGAGTGAGCTGTGATGAGGTGGTCCTGGCGCTGCTGGGGGAGACGGTGCAGATCAACTGCGACTCCCCGCGGGGAGCACAGCCCAAGCCGCGCGACGGGGCCGCCGTCGAGTGGTTTGTCGTGAGTCCCTCCTTTCGCTTCTTTCTGTCGTGCCTCCGAACTCGCCTTCACTCGTCCAGAGTGGACGGGCGAGCGGTGAGCCGGGCGAACAACGTCCGCGTGGCTTCCGCTGGGCGTTGACGCGGCCTGGCGGCGTACCAGTTGAACGCGGAGGCTTTCGCGACCAATGCCATCCATATGAGAATAAGAGGCTTTCCCCCTTTTTTATGGCAACAAAACAGCTGTGTCAAGATGTTAAAACGCCAAACTGAAACCTTTTACGAGGAATCATGTCTGCGTTAACCACAATGCTTGTGGTCAGAATGCAAACAAAAAAAAACATACTCTGATATTATATGCATTGCCTTTGAAACTGATTGGTCCGCACCAGAGACAGCTTTCTTTAGAGCCCCGTCTCAAACGGTGTTCGACCAGAGGACGCCAATAGGCCATGTCTCGCAGCTCCATAAAGGGCATCTCGCACCCCTAGGGAGTGCAGCGTGCACCCCAGGTTAAGAATAAGAACCACAGCTCCAGACCACCGGTCGGCATCACGAGGCTTCGCAGTGGCATGCGGCGGCTCTTTGGCTGGCCCCTCGCGGGCAGCAGTTTAAAGAAAAAAATAACATTACATCTTAAAACGTAATTTAACGTAAATATAATCGATTAAATGTGGCAGGAGAGTGGGGTCACTGTGGAATGTCTTGGTGACACAATCTAAAAGTCAAATTTTTTGTATGAAAAAAGAAGAATCGATTTTACCCTTTCTGGCAATAAAAAGGGTATTGATGTTCAAATATCATCATATCATCATGTCTCGGGACTGTTCGCCTTTTGACGTTCTCTGGTCTGACACTGGTGAGACGAGGCCCTAAATGAAGGTTGTCTCTGGCGTAGGCCAGACAGTTTCAAATACGATGCATAACGTGATCAGAGCACGTTTGCTTGCATGTTCACCACAAGTATGTGTGGTTCATGTAGACATGATTCCTTGCATGTCTACATTATTGTCAGAGAGGGTAAAGCCTATTCTTGTTTTTCATACTTTAATACTGGCAAAAAGGTGTCATTGTCAAACTGGAGTGTTAAATAATAACGTAGTTTGGACAAAAAAACTAAACAGACGCAGCTTAATTGATCAATGATTTTAGTTTTATTAATTCGCGATGTGTGTTGTCATCTGCTGCACGCGACTGCTGCGTGTCGTGTACAAGTAGCTCCGCGTGTGATGCGGCTCTCGAAGCACCCTGGTTAAAGGCAAAAAAAAAACCATCGGCTCCCCTTCTTCCCTTCAAAAGTTGCCGAACCCCCTTACCTCGAGACAAATGGGCACCGGCCCTGCTCCCTGTCACTTCGCACATTGCTCTCGGCGAAAATGCCGCTTCGACAAACCTCCCGCACCCCCCCACCCCCACCCCACCCGCTGTCGTTGCTGTCAGGAGCGGGCGGGCAGGCGGTCGGCAGTGTTCACGCGCGACGAGCGCACGGGGCAGCTGTGGCCGGCGCCCGCATTCGAGGGCCGCGTGGAGCTGGGCGGCGACACGGCCCTGACGCTGCAGGGCGTGCAGCTGCAGGACCGGACGACGTTCGTGTGCGTCTCGCACGACGGCGAGCTGAAGACGATGCTCGAGGTCTACGGTGAGATCGCGCGGGGCGGGCGGGGGGTGCGGAGTGGGGGCCCATCGCCGCGCCCCACACACCCCCCCCCCCCCCCCCGTGTGCTTTTCTTCGATTGAGTCTGCTTGTAATTGAGCCCGGATGTTTTCTCATCATTCTTCTCCTTCTTCCACAGCGTTCCCGGAGAAGCTGGTGATCACCAGGAATCCCTCCTCCGTTGTCCTGGGCTTGGGCAAGCAGCTGGTAAATACGTGCGCCCGTCGTAGAAGCGGTACATTTTTTTTGCGGCGTGTCTAATCGCCGCGGTGGCTAGGAGATGTTAACTACCTCGCCTGGTTTACAGGAGGTCGTGGGTTCGATCCCGACCCTGACGCCTGCTGCTGTATATTTGGAGTTTGCATGTATCTCTCTCCCCGTGGTCACGTGTATTTTTCTCTGGGTCCTCCGGTTTTCTCTCTCCACATTTAAAAACACACGCGCTTCGAGTATTTGGCTGCGATACATTTCCACGCAATAGGCCACTTAGCTGAGCTATCAAGTGTGGCCAGGTCGCTTCTAAAAAAAAATAGCTACATAGCTCAGTTTGACCTTACCTGGTAAAATCAAACATAGTTTAGTAGCATGTTCATAGTCTAATCCGACAATCGTAATTCAGCATTCACAGTGCTCGTGCAAAGCACTCCACCTAAAGGCACCAGAGCAAAGGGTTATCTGAGATGATCACTCGGCAAGGAAGTGACTGTAGGCCAAACACAACGTTCCATCACAATGCAGTTGGGAAATACACACAACAAACGAGGCTGCACAACGGTGAAACTGCTTGAGACGTCTCGTGTCTGTCCAGTTGATTCGAGTCATTCGCTATCTTTATCTTAAGCTGACGAATAGCGGAGTTCTCGTTTAACGCGGTGGATTGCGTTCCAGAAAAGTGCCTCGTTAAGCGAAAACGATTTCCCCATAAATAACGTACCGATAAAGTTTGGCGAGATACGATGAACGCACACGCGGTGCGATGGCCGCTCAAACAACTCAGCGTACGCCGCCGCGTTACTCATTCCACGTTCTGTACCAAACTGCTCAGCCACGCAGCTCAAGAAAGTAGTTTGTTGTCGACCGCTCAGAAACTGCGTTATAACGAGGCGCGCGTTCCGCGTTATAACGGGGCGCGCGTTCCGCGTTTTTGTTCGAAAAGTGTTTCACTGATGGAAGAGCCGCGTCACGGCGAAGACGCGTTGTCGTGCCAACACGCCGTTCCACAACTTTGATGCCATCGCTTCATTGCCGCTTTCTCTCTCGGGCGAGCCGACGCACGCACGTGGGGACTCGATGGACCGTTCCGATGGTGCAACGTTCAGCCTCGCCGCGAGTTCCCTCTTTCCTCGCAGAGTGCGTGACGCCGCCGGCTTGGCGTTCCTTGCAGATTGGCACGTGCATCTCGAGCGGCGGCTACCCCGAGGCCAACCTGACGTGGTACAAGAACAGCCAGGCCCTGCTCAACAAGACTCCGCAGAGTAAGGCCGCGAGGCCTCACGACACAAAGACAAAGATCCCCCGCGTAGCCTTTGCAGACTTTTGGGGCAGGTGCTGTTAGCGGGTAGCAGCGCCTATGAAGGCCGGCACGGCAACACGTGGAGGGGTGGCCAGCACTACGCCCGGCCGCCTTTTTGTCTCCTGAGTGGCGATGTTTACACACCGCGCCAGGTTTACTCATTTTAAGGCCAACTCGACCTCGGGAGAGGCCCAGGACGGCTGGAGACAATTGCCACTAGTGTTGACCTCACGACACAAACCACACTCGCAGCAGCGGTGGCTTCGAGGCGTCCGTACCTCTCTCTCAACTCGAAACGGTGCTCGGCCGAAACGTTGGGGGGGGGGACACACACTTGATGGATTGTTTGGGCAGCACAGGATTTTGTGCTGTGTAAGGGGGTGGTGGGGAGCACTGCTGTCTCATCACGCTGCTCAAGAGACCCAGTGGTGGCTAGGCCCCGATGTCGCTACGGCTCACTCCACCTTAACTGTTGGCGAGTCATCTCAGCAGCTTCACAGGAGTCGGGTAACGGGCTCCGATGACTCTCCGACAGCCCCGGCGCAGGCTGCGCTCAGCGTTCAGCAGAGTTTCAACTCCGGCACGGAGCGCTCGGTGGCCGAAATCCCGAATCGCAGAGGGGGAGCCGACCGTGTGGTCACGGCGCCGGCGTCTCGTCCCGTGGCACGTGCCACGGCCCTCGCCAATGCCCCCACGTGGACACGGAGCGTTGTAAAATACCTTCAAAAGGAGCCGTGGCCCACAGACGAGCGAAAGCCAACTTGGCGATAACAATGAAACGTGATGGTGGTTTCAGTGCGAACGCTTATTTCGTCGACCTTCACAAATTCTCATTTTATTGTGATTCACGTTTTCTGAATTTGGTTTTGGGGTAGCTACCACTATCTTAATTTCCACCACAGTATACCACAACAAAAACTTGAATGTGCCATGAAGGGCCATTGCTTGAAACGTCCCCTATTGCTCATGTTTTACATCTAGCGCAGTGTCACTGACGACCGCGTTGAGTTTTTATTTCAAAAAGGAGTGAACTTTTTGGCACGACCGTGACGCACGCGAGCAGCCGCCTCTCTCGTGGACAGACGCTTGTTAACGCACGGCTGTGCGTGCGCGCGCGTGTGCGCGCGTGCATGTGTGCCGCAGATGTGCGCGTGGATGAGCACGTGGTGCGCGAGTCGAGCGGCCTATTCTCGGTGACGGTGCACCTCTTCTACAAGCCCACGATGGAGGACAAGCAGGCGTCGTTCCACTGCGAGGTCCAGTACCGCCAGCCGGGGGGGCAGCTCGGCCGCATGAAGTCTGACGACATCCAGATCCTGCTCACCTGTGAGGGCCTGCACCGCGGGGGTCACTCCCTCCCTCCCTCACTCGCTCCCTCCTTTTCGCGCTCCCTCCCTCCCTCCCTCGCTTCCTCCCTCGCTTCCTCCCTCCCTCGTTCCCTCGCTCCCTCGCTCCCTCCCTGCCTCTTTTTTCACAATCAGAGGAAACAAAAAAGATCCTCGATGTAGTCGGCACTTTGCTTCGTTAATCATTTCGTTTCTTTAATGCTTTGCTCTATGTAAACCCCCCCCCCCCCCTTTAAATGAAAGATTTCGCTCCCCTCCTCCCTCCCTCGTTTTCTCCCTCGCTTTCTCCCTCCCTCCCTCGCTCTCTCCCTTCTCTTCTGAAAAAGAGCGATATAGAACAATTGACCTTACACCTGGTAAAATAAAAAAAAATCGTTGTAGTTTACTTTGAGAGCAACAATGAGAGACTCAGTTGTAGATCATGTAGCCATTCACTTGCCTTGTCTGAGAGTTGGCGGATGTCAGATACCCTGGCGTTCCGTGTGCGTTTGGGGCAGTGCGAAGTTACGCGATGCGTGGTTTGGAGTCTGTAGCCGCGGTCGCGCGTAGGAGAGCCTTTGTCCACTTTCGCGTCCGTCAACCGCATCTTGCCCGTCCGTCATCCGCATCTTGCCCGTGGTCTTGGGCCGATCCGGTTAAGCGCTGCCCAACGTCTCCGTAGGAGTTGGAACACCGTGACCGACCGCCAGCGAGCCATCCGCGTTTCGCATGTCTTTGACTTCATTCGCAGACCCGTCGGAGCACGTCAATCTGACCATCGAGTCGCCGCTCACGCCCATCAAACAGGGCGACAAGGTCACCCTCAAGTGCTCCGTGGACGGCACCTCGGAGCCCGAGTTCACCTTCCAGAGAGTTCAGGTAAAGGCCCTTCACAGCAACTCTGACGTTGCCTTTCACCCCAGGGGGAGTGGGGGGGGGGCGTATGAAGCTGAAGACAAGTTCAGTGATTACCGATGTGTTTTTTTGCACAAGCCAAGGGGAGACCCCCTCCCCCCCCCCCAAGCAAGTGTGTGGTGTGGTTGGTGTGAGGTGGTGGACGTGCTGCGGTTGAAGTGTGGTGCCGGTTGTTCCGTGATTATTTTTGTTGTTGTGATTATTATTTCGCGATTTCACCCAGGAAAGTCTGACCCCAGTCTCGTGACAACATCACGAGGGCCACGACGAGTTTTCGCGGAAGGAAGCAATGCATGCAATATCGCCGTAGCGGCCAAACAGCGGTCGGCGCGGTGATCGTGCTGTGGTCGACGCGCGGCAACGGACGCGCTGCGGGCTGATGCCTTCTTTGTCGAAGCGATGTGGTTGACGCGCTGTTGCTGTTGCTGCTGCTGTTGCTGCGGCGGTCGTGTCGTGTGGACGCGGTGCAGAAGAACGGCAGCGTGGAGGACCTGCACATCGGCGCCGAGTCCACGTTCACCCTGAGCGGCGTCACGCGCGATCACAGCGGCCTCTACCGCTGCACCACGTTCGACTTCGACCAGCCGCAGGCCGACATGCTGACGGCCGACACCTACGTCGAGGTCAACTGTGAGTGGTTCGCGACACGCCGCCCGTGCCGGGGGGAGTCGGAGCGTGCTAGGCAGACGGTGTCGAGATGTTAACTAACTCGCCTGGTTATGCAGGAGGTCGTGGATTCGATCCCGACCCTGATGCCTGTTTATTCGGAGTCTGCACGTTCTCCCCGCGCTCGCGTGCATTCTCCTCCACGTCCTCCGGTGTTTTTCCCTCCACATTCAGAAACAACGCGCGTTTCCAGTATTCAGCTGCCGTAACATCTCCACGCGATGAGCCACTTCGTCCAGCTGTCATTTGTGGCGGCCTGGTCGCTTCTGAACAAAACGCCACTCTGTATAGCTTGCGGGTCGTGATCCGTGCGGCGGGGACGGGGGGGGCGGCTGCCATGTGCCAGGGATCGAGAACGTGACGGTGACCCCGGCGGGGAACCACACGGTCACTGTGGGGACCTCGCTGGCCGTGGTGTGCGGCGGCCGCTCCGAGAAACCGCTCTCCATCTCATGGACCAAGGTGAGAAGCCCCGGGCGGGCACTGGCCGCAGGGCGGACACGCACGCACGCGCACGTTCACGCACGCACGGACTTCGCATCGTCACCGGCGCGCTCGCCGCCTCCCTCTCGCCCCGTGTGCTGGATGTTGAACGCTCGTGAGCGAGGGTTGGGTGGATAGCTGGACTGCGATGTGGCCCGGAGATGTCCGTTGCAGCAATTGGGTTGGGAACTTGTTTTCGTGGCTTTTCTTTGAATAGTGTTGGCTTCTTCCCACGTAAGATGTACTCTTGTTAAACATTAGTTGGCCAAACAAAGCAATGCAGCACCCTCCTAGTTAAAACTATTTTTTATTTTACCACGAAATGCCCCACTCAGCTATGTAGCTTTTTTTAGAAAGTGACCTGGCCACAAATGATAGCTCAACGAAGTGGCTTATCAGGTGGAAATTTGTAGCAGCAAAAGACTCCAAACGCGTGGTGATGTTCATTCTTAATGCAGAGGGGAAAACACGGAGGACCCAGAGAAAAATCAACGTGACCACGGTGGAAGAGACACGCAAACTTCAAATATACAGCAGTTGTAGTTACATGCTAATCCCTCACACTAACATTATGCTAATCTCCCAGTTACATGCTAATTTCTGACTTTAACATCCTGATAATCCAAAACATTAACTTAGCTACTTCAATGCTAAATTCTTCTGTTGATATGTAAACTCCTTCGTCAAGGCGCTCTGCTCCTCCCACCCAGCTTAAAAGACGCTGCCAAGCTTGGCAGTGTTCACTGGAGCGCTGTCTTCCTGACAGTTCTGTTTCTTCACCTGAGGAAGGCTACTTGTGTTGTGGCCGAAACGTCGGGAGAATTATATTTAATTGTTTTATTTTTATTATTTTATTATTTCCCTTCTACGTGACTTTACCGAAAGAACCAAGAAGATACACAGCAGGCGTCAGGGTCGTGATCAAACCCACGACCATCTCGTATACCAGGCGAGGTAGCCAACATTTAGCCGCCGTGAAAAGGTGTCTTGAGCATCGGGGAGGCTTTCCTGGGTAAACAAACGGAATAACAGTGCTGTCAAAGCTAACGAACACACGGCTGCCAAAACGGCCTCGGAGCAATGTTTTGACCGCTGGGCGGAGCTCCCGCCCAGACTCGTGGCGCTGCCGGATCTCCACGTGGGACTGCTGGGCGCGGCGGCTCTGGCGGCGTCCCTCTCCGTCGACGCTCTAACGCTCGCCGTGCTCCGCATTTTGTTGCGTTGTTCGCGAGACGTCGTCTTCCGGAGCTTGTGGCGTCCATAGAACCACTCCCCGCCCCCCCCCATCCCCGGAATCCCTCCGGTCACCAATCCGGCCGGCCGTGGAGCTCGGCGCTCGGGCTGCTCCGTCGCAGGCACGAAGCAGAGAACCCCCAACCGCTGTTACGGAACGCAACGGGGGGCTTGTCGAACGGCCCACCACCCCCGCCTCTCCCACCTCCCCCATCGCACGCCCCGGGGAAGATCACAGCGAGTGCTGGAGATGAGCGGAAAAGCAAAATCGGGCTGCGGTGGTAAAACGCCCCAATTTGTGTCATGCTCGTCGTGCGAGATGTCACTGCGCCGAGATAATTAGCGTGACGTGAGCGCTGATGAACTTAAATTCGCTCTCTGTCAAACATTGCACAAATCCGTTACGTGCTAAGTACGCTTCACAGACACGCAATTGAAACCAGAACCCCCACAAAGTAGTTATTGTGTCGCGAGATGGAACACCGTACTCGAATTCCAGCTCTTGAGAGTCAAACAATCGCCCTGAGAATTATTCTTTAAGGGCGCCTTTAAAATGTAAATTATTATTTAACTGTCAAACGACAAAACGGCGCTCTTAATGGCAATTAGTGGGTGGGAAGGTGCTGCCCGCTACTTTGAGAACCAGCGGTCACGTGATGAGAAGTAGGCCCTCGATATTTGCTTCCGTGAACCATTCTCCAAGTAGGCCTCGGCAAGGTAAAAACAACGAGCCTACCTTTACCCTACCTTTTACCTTACCACAATACAATCACTCTACCCTACCTTTTACCCTTCAGCAGGTAAGGTAAGAGGTTAAAAGCAACGAGCCTACCTTTACCCTACCATTTACCCTTACCCCATACAAATTACCCGATTACAGGGTAATTACTGGGGTACTACTACGCATGAAAAAGGTTTATAACAGGTAAATGCTAGGCAGAGTGCTTTATTCACATAGAATACTCTCGGCGATTCCAATTTTACACGCTTTCTTTTAACTCACTCAGTTGTTGTCGTTGTATCCTCAAATCTTGCAACTCAATTTTTACCCACTTACCAATGTGGTATCGACTGAAAACTTGGTATACTTATGTCATACCGATGACAATACTATATTCGATAATAAAAATATATATTTTAAAACATTTTTTTATATTTTATCTATCGGCTTGGGTCTAATTGTCCACTGTCAACTGACGTTGGCTGTAATTGACCACGGTCCCTTACGTCATGGCAAGCTTCGGGGCCACTTCCTGGAGTCGTGGAGTTCTGCCATTACTAGTACATTTAATAAAAGAGTGTTTAAAAAAAGTTGTGTTTAAAATATTACTTGTTAAATGGAGGCCACGGACTGCGCCACGGAGCTTTTAGCGGTAAACAAGGCACCGTATTTACCGGGTTAATACTTCGCGCTACCTTTACCCTACCGGGCAATTCTTCCGAGCTACCTTTACCCTACCCTTTACCTTACCCCTTGGCATGTCGACACCTTTACCCTTTTACCCGGTAAAAAGGGTAAATTACCTTACCTTGCCGAGGCCTATCTCCAAGGCAGGTGGCTGCATGCCTCTCCAAGAGATCCGAATGGATTCTCCTGCCCATGGCACCGCTTGCACAGTTGGGATGAAATTGGGGAAACAGACAAGCGAGTGGTGGCCTTTACGGCTTTACCTTTAAAATTAAATGTTTATATATGGTGAGCAGAAACTCTGCTAAAGGAGGAGTTGTAATTGTGCAATGTGCAGGCCATGGGGCAAAAATGCCCAGTCGGCCGGTCCATTCCAAGGGTCGGTGGGCCAGGTCTGTGTGGGGAAATTGCTAAATAATGTGATCAGAGTAATTTGTTTTTATTACAATACGTCATTACTTCTAATGTGTACGCTTCATTGCTTATTTGTGCTCTCAGTTGCCATTAAGCCCCCACATTCGGCAGCCCCAAAGATTCTTCCTTTGGGGCCGGACTCCCTCGCCGCCCCCACCCAGCACCAAATGGGCCAATGAGAATCGCACGGCCCAATTTGGGCCGCGGTGCGTTTCCAAATGCCTGGGCCGACTTTTTTTTTTGTCCCAGTCTGTCACCGGCGACCGCCGCTCTCCGCTCGGCGGTCGCGGTGGCGCTCGCCACCAGAGGGGGTTTGGGCCCCCGTGACGCTGACGCTGTGCACGCAGGACGGGAAGCGCCTCGCCCAGGGCGGCCAGCTGCAGCTGTCGGCCGTCACCTTCGGCAGCAGCGGCACCTACGCGTGCGAGGTGTCCATGCCCAGCGTGCCGGGCCTGAGCGTGAGCCGCCTCGTCCATGTCAGCGTGGAAGGTGAGGTGCCCTTGCCTTGTCCGCTTCTCCGCCTCGCGCCCCTTGCTCCTCGCAGGGAGCGGCGGTGCTCGCTCGCGTGTGATAGGTGACGCAACGGACGGACCTCCGTGTGTATGTGTGAACTTTGAGATGTTTTCGCACCGTACGTTAGCCAACCGTGATAATTAGAGATGCGGGGGAAGGGCGACAATGTCAACCACAAAAATCAGTTCTGAAGAAAGTAGTTTTCAATCTAGATGATTTAAAAGTACAAAGCTCCAGTGGCTTCCTAATACTGGGAGGAAGAGCATTTCAGACGGCAATAAAAGTGCATCTGAAAGCGCGCGATGCGGTGACCACCGTCTTTGTTCGATGGGCCAACTAAAATCCGCCGCGAAGGTGACCGGAGTTTGCGTGACGATGGGTTATGCTCCTTGATGTCACCTCCGCATTCAAACCGACCCCAATCACCAACTCGGCCGACGCCAGCACCGCCGTTCGGCTGAGGTCATCGCGCGCCGCGGGCGACGGGGGTCGCGGCGATGGCGAGGTGCCACGGCTGCACCCTTGACACGTGCCGTTCGTGTCGCTGCGCCCGTGCAGGGGAGCCGCGGGTGACGCTCTCAGACGTGCTGGTGGAGCCCGAGCGGCTGACCTTGGTGTGCACGGCCACGGGGAACCCCCTGCCCGAGATCAAGTGGAGCGTGCCGCAGACGCCCGTGAGTTACCCGCACTCCCTCGCCGCCCCCACGTCCTTCACCCTCCAGCCCACACGGCCTCCGCACCTCCGTGCCGGCCTGTGATATCGCGTTCGATTCATTCGCTCGTTCGCTATTGAACCCTGACCCCCCTCCCGCCTCCCGCCCCACCACCTGTGTGCCGCAGGTGGAGGTTCGAGTCAAGCCCTGGGAGCTGCAGAGCTCCGTGGTGCTGCCCCGTGGCGCCACGCAGCAGGCGATGGCGACGTGCACGGCTCGCAACGCACACGGCTCCGCCAAGAGGGCGCTGCATGGCCCCACGGGTGACGCTTGGGCTCCCTCTCATCACGGCCACCGTCACCATCGCCTTGGCCAATTAGGGAGTCCCTTGATCACTTCTTTCTCTCCTTCCATTCCCTTGCTCAGCTCTACCATCGCCCCCCCCCCCATTCCCTCCTGTTTTCCTCCTCGTTTATGCTTCTGCACTGCGAGGCATTTGTGACATTCGGGCGCTTTACAAGTAGAACAGAGCGCTGTGACACGCGGCCTTACAATCGCAGCAAGTTTCAAGACGGCTTCCCGGTGGCCTCTTGCTTTCGCATGTGACAGCTACGACGTGGCTCTTAGGTCCGTCCAACTCCGGTTCATATCACGGTGTCGTCTCCAGGTGGAGGTGTTGTCAGCTTGGTCTTAGCCAGGAGGTAGCAGGACAGCGGTGGATTGTTGAATCTATCTGTTCTCATTTTTTTGTGTCATCCGCTCGTTCACATGGGTTTTCCCTGGGTACTCTGGCTTCCTTGCCGACGCCAAATGCTCATAAATCGAAATAACCAAACATCCCAATGCAGGAGGCGCCACGGTGGCGAGATGTTAACCACCTCGCCTGGTATACGGGAGGTCGTGGGTTTGATCCCGACCCTGATGCCTGCTGTATATTTGGAGTTTGCGTGTCTCTCTCCGTGGCCGCGTGGATTTTTTTCTGGATCCTCAAGTTTTTCCTTCCACATTTAGAATCAACATCACGCATTTAGAGTATGTGGCTGCTATCAATTTCCACGCGAAAAGCCACTTCGTTCAGCTCTCAGTTGATATAGCCAGGTCGCTTCTAAAAAAGAGTGATATAGCTTAGTGGGCCCTACCTGGTTAAACGCTTTTTCTTTTAGGGTATTCCATGAAAGAGTCGTCAAATTTAGTTATTTGTTCAGCGTTACTGCATTGGCAGTGAAATTATAAACAAACATAACTAAGAACACAACACATTCATCAATAACACTGTGGCCTTAAAAAGGTAAAATATGCAAGAGGTGACATGATGCGCTCTGAAGAAGGGCCACTGATCGAAACGTTGCCAATTATACATCTATTTTTTCCTTTGAAGGCCACGTGGTTATTGACGAACGCGTTGAAGTTTCAGACGTTTAAGCGGAGGATTTCCTCGGCCAAATAAACGGTATTTGTTAACGGCTGTGACCTATGTACGTGCGCACCGTGTGCTGACCTTCCTTCGCACCGTACGTAGCCAGCCGTGCTCATCGGAGGCGTGACAGGGGTGAGACGGGGGGTGGAATGCACGGCGGGCTCATTGAGCTCCCGTTGCCCCGTAAACCGGCAGAGTATCGAGAGCAAAGCAGCGCCGATGAACCGTTTCATTTGCTCCCGAGAGATGTTGCCGTTGTGGCGCGTGGCTCGCCCGGCCGACGTTGGCACCGAACGAGCGATCCGTGCGGGCGCGGCCGGACCCCGGCGTGGCCTCCTCAGCCCCCCGCGTATGGGGGGGGCAGCACCGATCCATGCCGCCTCCACGGGAGGGCGCTCGCGCTCGGCGCCCGCGCGCGTAGGGGGGCAAAGGGACCCAGCGTCACGAACTGGGTGCGTCCCTCGCAGGGGTTGCTGTGACTTGGACTCAGGCCCAGAGCCGCGGCCCAACGAATGTAAATTTTGTCAGATTTTTGGGTAAGACAAAAAAAAAACCCTCAGAAACAAACAAAAACCACTTCACGATGTCTCCGTCGCAAACCGTGGGCCAAATTAGCTGCAAGAGTGCCATTTGGTTGTGTCCCTCGTCGCCTGACAGTTTAATTGTGTACGTATATAGAGCTTCTTTCGCGCCTTACGTAGCCAATCGTGGATAATCGGAAGTGCGGGATAACGTTGACCACTCACGCTCCGGATTAACGCGACCGCGTCGTGTTCTTTGTGTTCGCAGTGCCGCCGCCCGTCAGCGAGAGCCCCCCTCCGTCTCCCCGTGAGTTTCTCGCTCTCGCCGTTGACCCCCACAATCAATTCGCACGGCCGACACCGCATTGTGGCTGCGTCCTTTGACGAATCTCGTCCTACCGCGCCCACGTTGCACAACGAGCGTAAAAAGCTGCTCGCCGATCTTCGATTGTTGTGCGGTTGTGCAAGGGCACCGCCGTCTGTGATCATGATACGTTTGCCATTTAGCAGCAAAAAATCTGGAGAGAAAAAAAATAACAACAATCGTACCAGGGTCCATGGCCCATTTGCGATGCACATTTGACTGAAATTGCACTGAAAGGGGGTGACGGAATGAGTGAAAGTTTCTTTGCTTATTGAAACGCCCTCGGTCACGTCCACGCGCCCATCAAAGAAGCTCGCTCCCGTCACGAAGCTACGCCTCAGGTCGTCCCTGGTGGAAGCGGCCGTGGTATCGGCCACCCGCAGCCCTGCTGGGGGCCGCCAGCTCCTCTCGCTGCCCCCAGTCGCACCGCCACCGTCTTGAGGCTCCCGTGGGGCCACCAGTCTTGGCATCTAGGGAGCCAACCGGCTGTTTTTTTTGTCTCGCTGTTTACGACCCTGCTCGTTAAACGTAAAACTTTAGGGATGAACTTTAAGTTGACTCTGAGACACCGAACACTCTGTATGTGTGTATGTTGAACTTCTTTCGCACCGTACGTAGCCAACCGTGCTAGTCAGAGGTGCGGGGGGAAGGGCAACAAACTAAACACAAAAAGCAGTTTTAAAGAAATGAGTTCTCAATCTAGATTTAAAAGTGCCATAGCTCCAACGGCTTCCCAATATCGGAAGGAAGAGCGTTCCAGACGGCCGCAGAAGCGCGTCTGAAAAGCGCGCGAAGCAGTGACCACCTTTGTTCGATGACTGGCCAATAGCGGCAGCGAGGACGACCGGATTTCGCGTGACGGCTTATGCTCCTTGACAAGTCAAATACCGGTGATTTTTTGTGTGCTCAGGAATCGTTTTTAGAGAGAGCCGTGCCACAGTGGTTTTAATGCACACAGCCTTCAGAGCGGAGAGCCGTGTCTGGGCAGTTCCTCGGGGGCTTTTGTGAGATGTCACCGCACCCCATGGCCGCGTATAATCCCAGGCAGCTCATGAGCATAGGATAAGTGGCTACTCCAACCGGGACCTCCTCCATCCCTATTGGCGCTCTCTCCCCGTCTCGCAGCGCCACCGCTCGGCTCTGAGCGGCCACGCTGCGCGGTGCCCACGGTGGGCACAGCCCCGGTCGCCACGGTGGCCAGGTGTTAACTTCCTCGCCTGGTATGCAGGAGGCCGTGGGTTCGATCCCCGACCCTGACGCCTGCTGCTGTATATTTGAAATTTGCATGTTCTCTCTCTGACCCCATGGTCGTGTGGATTTTACTCCGGGTCCTCCGGGTTTTCCCTCCACATTTAGAAACACGCGTGTCAGAGTATTTGGCTGCTGTAAATTTCCACGTGATAAGCCAACTTCGTTGAGCTATCATTTGTGGCAGGTCGCTTGTGAAAAAGAGCTACACAACTCAGTGGGCAATACCTGGCAAAAAAAAATAGTTGTTTAAATAGTTCATACATAGTCTCACTCTGGCCACTTCATCACTGGACTGCGTTTAGTCCCAACTATTCATACGTACATTATTCTTTTAAAGGGTTTAAAATAAAGGGAGGAGGGGGGGGGGGGGGAGGGTGCCACATATATTATCCAAATATAAAACTAAAACAATACGAAAGTAAGGTTTTTTTTCGAAAGCGAAACCGTCAAATAATCGCAACCAACTGCGGAACTCACACAGTGATCCAATTAGTCGCTGCACAGTGCAGGACCCGGGACTGCGTCCAGGGCGCTCGATGTTCCGGCCGCGCGGCGCTGAGATGCTTGCTTGCTAACGACGGGGCGAGCATCGCCGGGACGTTTTGCCTTCCACTCCCGGACCCAATTTTTTTTTACCTCCAATTTTGTGGCGCCGGCCAAAACCCGAGCGGCCGATCGCGCGCGCCGATCTCTTCGCGCAGAGAGGCCTCTCCTGCGAGTGACGCCGCGTTTCCGTGCCGCCGTCCAGACGCCTCGGCCACCAACACGAGCAGCAAGACGGTGATCATCGCCATCATCATCGCGCTGGGCGTCTTATTCCTCGTCTGCGCCCTCATCTTCTGCCTCTGCAAGAAGTACAACCTCTGTTTCAAGAATCGGTACAGCCCGTAAGTGACCACATACGCCACTGGGCAGCCAACAGAACCACAGCACAAGATCGATCAGAGCGTCAGCCTTTGCCGTGTAAACTACAGAGCGTAGCTATTTTATCGTGTTTGGTCGCTAGAAGTGAAAACAAGTTGTAAAGAGAAACCAAATCCTTACGTATGGGCCTCGTTGACAGCGAGCTCTACCAAATAAGTTAAATGATGTTAATTTCCAAGTCAGCACTTCATTAAAATATATTTCATATATATTTCAAATATATTTCAACAGTATAAATGTGAATGCTTTTAAACCAGATTCCAAAGCAAGCAGCCTATATATATTTTTTAATGTTTAAGTCGTTTCTTGCTGAATTGTAAACCGTCTCAATGATTGTTTCTGTTAAATCAGTTTTTTTAAAAATATGTTCTTGAATACCGTGACCCTCAAAGTGCGTTGATTTGTCAACGTGCATGCTGTGTTTGCTCTGTAACCCAGGTCTCCACCACATATGTATGTTGAACTTATTTCGCACCGCACGTAGCCAAACGAGGCAATCGGAGACCCTTAGTCTCGCGGAGCAGGGGTGGACTCTGACCTGAGGTTAAACGAATGAAAAATCAATCGCGAGATGCGTCGGTGCTTGCCGGTGACCGCATCACCTAGAATGCCCCTGATCTGGGCTAAGCAGCGGTGAGCCATGGTCGTGCCTGGATGGGTGACCTAACGCCTCCGATTAGCTCCCGCACCTCCGATGAAGCACGGTTGGCTACGCGCGGTGCGAAAGAAGCTCAGCATGTGTACGTACAACACGCGTGTAAAGCACGCAGTGTGTAGCGGCCTGTAACATGTGCAAAACACGCGTGTTGTAGGCTGCTACTGCTGTGGGGCAGTGTAGCGAGAGACATCGTGACTGCACTGCTCCTGTCCAACGGCTCTGGTCACGAGCCGTGGTGTCCTTTCGCAAACACGCTGTGGCTATCGTGGCTTTCCATTTGGCTCCGTCCATGATTTTCACACGCAAGAGCTTTGCATGAACGAATCAAAGTTACATCCAATTGTTCTATTTGCTTAAGTAACTAAATTGTCTCGTCTCGATCGCCTTCTTTGTACTCGTAATGTTTTCAGTTAGAATCAGCCTCTTTTGATTTATACTGAGACATCCGGTCCTCTTGCCTTCTCTTTCATTTTACTGATGGCTCTCTCGAACTTCATCTTTAAAAAAATGTTTTGGTCCTTTCGTAAAAATGTTAAAATCTCTGGCCTCTCAGCCTCATTGTCACGGTAAATCCCATTAACATTCTCAACCCAAATTGTCCAACGTGGTGGAGTCTGGCCCCAATAGCGACCACGACATGCACGGAACAAGGAGGCCCTCATCCAGCGACATATGGGGCACGACGCTGGAAAAAAATGTTCACTACCTCGCCTGGTATGCAGGAGGTTGTACGTTCGATCCCGACCTTGACGCCTGCCGTATATTTGGAGTTTGCGGTGTCTCTCTCTCATCATCATCATCACGGTGGCTAGAAGATGTTAACTACCTCGCCTGGTATGCAGGAGGTTGTGGGTTTGATCCCGACCTTGACGGCTGCTGTATATTGGGAGTTTGCGTGTCTCTCGTCCTGTGGTCGCGTGGATTTTTCTCCGGGTCCTCCGGTTTGTCCCGTCAACCCATTTAGAATCAACATCACGCGTTTAGAGTATTTGGCTGCTCTCCATTTCCACATAAGCCACTTCGTTGAGCAATCATTTGTTTCCAAGTCGCTTTTGAAAAAGAGCTAAAGAGATCAGTGGAACTAACCCGGTAAAATTATTTTTTTTAAGTTTTAGGATCTTCCATTAACAAGTCGTGAAATGTAGCTATTTATCTAGAGATATTGCGTTGGCAGTGGGGTTATAAACAAACATGACATAGAACTCAACGCATTCATCAATAACACTGCGGCCTTATAAAGGTTAAATATGCTTCTGAAAAAGATCTCTCCAGCTCAGTGGGCCCTGCCTGGTAAAATAAAAAAATCTTCCTTTTAGTTGAAAAAGTGCTCTCTCTCTCTCTCCTTGTGCCCGTAGAAGCGCCTTCCCCTCCCTCGCGTGGCGTTCACAGAGCGTGCGTTGTCCCCCCCCCCCTTCACCAAAAGGACACGGAAACAAACGCAGAGCTCTGTGGGGTCGTCACCCGACACGTACATGGCGCCCCCCGACCAGGACCTCAAGGCCTAATCGCGACCTCTCCAGGTGACCCCGCACGGCAACGCCACCCCCCCCCCGCCCCCCCCCCACGGGTAACCCACGGGGAGGGATCCGCTGCTGGATTTTTTTTCCGTCCGCCCATCGCGGAACTTTCTCGGCCGGTCACGGGATGAGGGCGCGGGCTTCACAGCAAAGAGGATCCCCTCGCACCGCGAGCAGAGCACGCTGTGGCGAGTTTGACAATTCTGTGAAGGGCACAGGCTGCAGGGTCTCTGAGCCCTCCCACCAAACCCCCTGGGTGTTATTTATGATTTCGCCTTCCTTACCCAGGAAGGTCCGAGTCTCAGGGCTCTTGAGTATTCCACGCTTTTATTTAACTCACTCTGCCTGTTGTTGTCCTTGTTGTTGTCGTTGTTGTATCCTCAAATCTTGTAAGTCAATTTTAACGCACTTCCCAATGTGGTATCGACTGCAAACTTGGTATACTTATGTCATACTGATGACAATACTATATTCTATCATAAAAAATGATTTTTATTTTATTTTTAAACATTATTTTTATATGTTATGTTTTGGCTTGGCTCTAATTGTCCACGGTCCCCTGACGTTATGGCAAGCTTCGGGGCCACTTCCTGGAGTCGTGGATTTTCTTCCATTACTACAGTACATTTCATGTTTACGATGTGACGATCGATCTACTGGTGGACGAAATAAAAATTGGTTACAATATTTGATGACGCTAAAAAGTACCAAATAATATATATTAAAAAAGCGTGTTTAAAAAAAAGTTTTTAAATATATTTATTTTCTATTCTTTTTCAGGATAGTCCTGTCAAGATTGTCGCACCATGGGGCAATGTTGCTGCTGTTTTAAAATCACAATTTGAGTACTTTGCAGGTTATTCTTTCACCATTGGGATGTTTGGCCGACACCGGTTCCACTGCATGAATCGTAGCTGCGGGAGGAAGCCCGCGGCGGAGCTAGGGGAGACACATACGAACCTTAACTCGCGAGTGCCGCCACGGGTTGGGGAGTCGAACCCACGCCCCTTCTTGCTGTGAGTCGCGAGTGTTGTTGCCACTGCAGCGCCCTGCTGCCCCGGCATGGACAGCCGCGTTAGTGCGTCCTCCCACGCGGCACGGGACGCTGACCCGCTCCGCTCTGCGTCCGCAGGGATCGTCGGCAGGGACCCCACGGGTCATCGCGGGCGTAACCATCGCAAGATCGGAATCAAGTCGCTTTCTGGGAAATCCTACTGTATTATACGCTTGTCGTCATTGCTCAGCAATTGCCTGTCCGCCTAAAAAAAAAAACAGATCTCTATTCTATATCCTCCTACGACAGTTGTAAATGAGATCGGTGCGCCGATGTGACATGTACAGATTACACGACTGGCCAAGTGACGGGTGGTGGTGGTGGTGGTTGTGGTGAGAGGCGTCTCGCGCGTGCGGCGGCGGGGGCGGCGGCGGCGTGCAGCGCCCCCCGGGAGGCACCGTGGCAGCCGCTGGGGTCCCGCTCCGTGCGCACCGTGGGGCCCGGGTCGCCGAAAGCGGTGGAGCACGAGCAGAGGGTTGGGGGTCGCAGACCCGGACCGACCCCACGCTCCTCCTCGGGGGGGGGGGGGGGGGGGGGGGGGGGGGGGGGGGGGGGGGGGTGCCGGGCTCACGGGGTCGGGGACTCCGCGGCTGCCTCTCCACGCCCGGCGGCAGCGAGCGCCCCGACACATTTTGGCAGCTCGAGTTCAAGCGCTCGGCTCGATCGAGGCGCCGTAAGCAAACGACGCCACTGCCTGGCGCGTTCGCTGTAGGGGGCCACTCCCCCGTCGCGTTCTTTCGCATAACCACCCCGCCCCCCCTCCCCCGCCACGAAGCCTCCTCCTGCTTGGGGAAGAATTTATGACTACTTTTTATATAAACTTGGGATGTTTTTTTGATTTTGTATTTAACGTACATGGTCACCGTAACATTATTATTATTTTTTCTCTCGCAGGGTCTTTTTATATTCGAGACGAGGTACTTTGGGTGGCCGATTGTTCTCGACGAGTGGATTGCTCCCTCGTCGAGTCCTCGCTGCGCCGTTCTGGCCCACCACCCCCCCCCCGCCCCCCGCGGCAACGGCGGCCGGCCCTGCCAGGCCAGTGGCGTCTTGCTTCTCGCCACTGCCTTTAAGACAAACAAACAAGACAACGAACTCGTTGGTTCTTTCGGTAAGGTCACGTGGGTATGAAATAAATCACGACGTTTCGGGTGCAACACAAGCGTCCGTCATCAGGTGGACGCTTGTGTTTGCACCCGAAACGTCGCGATTTATTTTATACCCACGTGACTTTACCGAAAGAACCATGGAGTATGGATTCCTGCAGTCACGAAAGCTTCAAATCAGAACAAGACGAACACAGAATGCCCGACGTAGACACTGTACAATGACATCACGCACGTGTGCTATTTATGAAGGCAGCCCCGGTTGTGTTTTCGTTCGAACGTTCTTCCACTCTGGCATCATTCGTGTTGTGTTTTTGCATCACCTGTGCATTCAAAAAGTAAATGATTTTATCGCTCAATACAAATGGCCATGGTATTCACGTACAGCTTCGTGCCTGCAAGGTAATGGTATGGGGCCGTCCATAAATGACGTCACGCAGCTAGGGGGAGGGGGGGGGTCAAACATTTGTGACGATGTGTGACGAGGGTGGGGGAGGGGGTTGAGAAATGTGACGTCACATCAAAATGCGCAACTTTAAATAAATATAGACAACACGTTTTACTTCCTTAAATATACTTTTTTTCAATAAACGTTTTATCCTACAACAGAGTGCAGCGGCACATTAAATACGCACTACAATGACAATAGTTTAAAGCGATTTGGAGCATGTTTGATATTTTTGGGGGGGGGGGCAGAGCTTTGTGACGTCATATTTGAGGGGGGGGGAGGTCTGACGTTTTGTGACGCCGTGTGACGAAGGGAGGGAGGGGGGGTCAAAAATCGTCCAAAATCGCGTGACGTCATTTATGGACGGCCCCTATGAGGGGTGATCAAAATGTTTCGAGGATATCGTCCTGAGATCATAGCAGCACCAAATAATTATTCTGATGCCACAACCCCTACGCATTATAACCCTCCGGCACCAGCGAGGACCTCCTTACCACCCACGTACGATGGGTGTCCCGTGCCACTGCTAATAACGCTCTGACGCTGCTGGTGGGAATCTCCGTGGGGTCAAGATAAAGCCCATTGTGTGTGTGTGAAGCTCCGTGTGCGCTCCGATGGTTTTTGCATCATCGCCGCTCGACAGCGATGGGACGCGGCCTCTCGGACGCGAGCGAGCGAGCGAGCGCGGAGGAGACGCGGAGGAGACACGCGCGTCCAGTCAGCAGCATCCGTTCGTGGTGCCCCTCTCCTGAAGCCGAGCAGATGCAGGTCCACGGTGGGGCTGGGGCCGCGGGGTGTGCCTGCTGATGGGGCGCCACATGGGCCACCGTGCGGGGTTGAAGCTGACTCCATGGGCGGGTTAAGCGATGGGGTCAGGCTATGGTCGAGTCGGGTTGTGGAGTTGGGTTGACCTGCTGTGGCCCGGGCTTGCCCCGAGATGACCTCGCATCCCACCTTGCCCTCGCAAACCCTTACACTCACCACCTCACACTCACCACGTCACACTCACCACGTCACACTCTTACACTCACCACGTCACACTCACCACGTCACACTCACCACGTCACACTCTTACACTCACCACGTCACACTCACCACGTCACACTCACCACGTCACACTCACCACCTCACACTCACCACGTCACACTCACCACGTCACACTCACCACCTCACACTCACCACGTCACACTCTTACACTCACCACGTCACACTCACCACGTCACACTCACCACCTCACACCACGTCACACTCACCACGTCACACTCAGCACGTCACACTCACCACGTCACACTCACCACCTCACACTCTTACACTCACCACCTGACACTCACCACGTCACACTCACCACGTCACACTCACCACCTCACACTCTTACACTCACCACGTCACACTCACCACCTCACACTCTTACACTCACCACCTCACACTCACCACGTCACACTCAGCACGTCACACTCACCACGTCACACTCACCACCTCACACTCTTACACTTACCACCTCACACCACGTCACACTCACCACCTCACACTTACCGTGTCACACCACGTCACACTCACCATGTCACACTCCTCCACACTCACCACCTCACACTCACCACCTCACACTCACCACCTCACACTCCTCCACACTCACGACCTCATACCATGTCACACTCCTCCACACTCACCACCTCACACTCACCATGTCACACTCCTCCACACTCACCAACTCACACTCACCACCTCACACACCACCTCACACTCCTCCACACTCACCACCTCACACTCACCACCTCACACTCACCACCTCACACTCCTCCACACTCACGACCTCACACCATGTCACACTCCTCCACACTCACCAACTCACACTCACCACCTCACACTCACCACCTCACACTCACCATGTCACACTCCTCCACACTCACCAACTCACACTCACCACCTCACACCACCTCACACACCACCTCACACTCCTCCACACTCACCACCTCACACTCACCATGTCACACTCCTCCACACTCACCACCTCACACTCACCATGTCACACTCCTCCACACTCACCACCTCACACTCACCATGTCACACTCCTCCACACTCACCACCTCACACTCACTATGTCACACTCCTCCACACTCACCAACTCACACTCACCACCTCACACCACCTCACACTCCTCCACACTCACCACCTCACACTCACCATGTCACACTTCTCCACACTCACCAACTCACACTCACCACCTCACACCACCTCACACTCCTCCACACTCACCACCTCACACTCACCATGTCACACTTCTCCACACTCACCAACTCACACTTACCATGTAACACTCCTCCACACTCACCAACTCACACTCACCACCTACACTCACCACGTCACACTCACCACCTCACACTCACCATGTCACACTCCTCCACACTCACCACCTCACACTCACCATGTCACATTCCTCCACACTCACCAACTCACACTCACCATGTCACACTCCTCCACACTCACCACCTCACACTCACCATGTCACACTCCTCCACACTCACCAACTCACACTCACCACCTCACACCACCTCACACTCCTCCACACTCACCACCTCACACTCACCATGTCACACTCCTCCACACTCACCACCTCACACTCACCATGTCACACTCCTCCACACTCACCACCTCACACTCACCATGTCACACTCCTCCACACTCACCAACTCACACTCACCATGTCACACTCCTCCACACTCACCACCTCACACTCACCATGTCACACTCCTCCACACTCACCAACTCACACTCACCACCTCACACCACCTCACACTCCTCCACACTCACCACCTCACACTCACCATGTCACACTGCTCCACACTCACCAACTCACACTTACCATGTAACACTCCTCCACACTCACCAACTCACACTCACCATCTACACTCACCACGTCACACTCACCACCTCACACTCACCATATCACACTCCTCCACACTCACCAACTCACACTCACCACCTCACACCACCTCACACTCCTCCACACTCACCACCTCACACTCACCATGTCACACTGCTCCACACTCACCAACTCACACTTACCATGTAACACTCCTCCACACTCACCAACTCACACTCACCATCTACACTCACCACGTCACACTCATGGGTGGTGTAGTGGAGGCGTGCTGTTGGTATGCTGTGTTGGATGGGTGGTGTAGTGGAGGCGTGCTGTTGGTATGCTGTGTTGGTGGGGTTATGTAGTGGAGGCGTGGTGTTGGCATACTGTGTTGGAGGGGTGGTGTAGTGGAGGCGTGCTGTTGGTATGCTGTGTTGGAGGGGTGCTGTCGTGGAGGCGTGCTGTTGGTATGCTGTGTTAGGTGTGCGTACTTGCTGACCACCCACCCACGCTCTCGTGTGCCGTACCGGCCTCCACAGGTGCTACTCGCTAACTGCGTTTTCCCCAACAGTCTGCTAAGGCTACACCGGGGATCTTTGTCTCTAGCTGTTGGTATGCTGTGTTGGAAGTGTCAGCACGAGGGCTTGCCAACGGGCGCAGATCTGCCAGGTGGCCGAGAGGCGGCAGTGCGGAACGGTCAAAGAGTCGCTCAAGCGTCGAGGCGATTGGCTCATCTCTTTTTTTTATAACAGCCCCTGAGCCAGTGGTGGAAATTCCTCTGTTCTATGGCGGGGACGAGTCTATCCGCTGGACAACCACTGTAGCGTTCTCCACGAGGTTGATACTCATTCCATGGACACCAGAGGGAATGGTGGGCTGCGTTAACCCCCAACCAAGATCTGACCTCGCGACAAAGGTAACAGGCAGGGTGGCTCTACAGATCGAGCCACCCTCTTTGCTCCTAATAACAAACACATTCCTGTGGAGGGAGCTGGTAGGAACGTTGGGTTGCTCGGTCAATGGCCAGGGTCAACGGCGGCACCACGTGGTGTATTCCGCAAATATGCCCGACTGTGAGGGCGGGCACAAGCCGGTGTGAGTAGGTTAAACGTTGACTTTTATAAGGGCACCACGGGGTGACCAGCCCCTCCCCACCCCCCACCCAGCTCATCCCCACCCAGCCCCTCCCCACCCTCCCCTCCCCACCCTCCCCTCCCCACCCTTCCCTCCCCACCCAGCCCCACCCCTCCCATTTTTGTATGCACGACGGACGGACACAATTATCCTCTGTGGGCTGGTGTGACCAGGAGGTTCCTACCAGTAGTAGTATTGCCTCGTAAGAAAGAGTGTGACAGAGATCCCCCGTATAGCCTCGAACAGACTGTCGGGGGCAAGTGCTGTTAGCGAGCAACTATTGAAGGCCGGAGCGGCACACGAGGTGGTGGGTGGCCAGCACCACGTCCGGCCGCCTTTGTCTCCCTCGTGGCGATATTTACAAAACTCACCGGGTACTCATTTTAGGCCGAGTCGACCTAGGTGAGGCCCAGGACCGGTTCAGATAGCCGTCACTGGTCTTAGCCGTGAGCGGAAATCGAACCCGGGTCGCCGGGTTCGTAGCGCAGCGTGGCGCTAACCGCTACGCCACCGCTCCCCACAGAGTGGACCGCCGCTTTAATTTAAAACACTCTCACTCGTGATGGACCCATGCAGCACGCGCGCCGTCCTGTGGATCGATTGACAACGCATTTCTTAACAACTGCTGCATTCTGCGTTTTTGGTTTGTTGAACTAGCCCGCCCGGCACCTCCCCATTGGCACGCTCGGCCACGTACGGTGCGAAAGAAGTTCAACGTCCAGACACACGAATGGCGCCCTTTCGCCGTGACGAGCCACGAGGAGCAGGCGACACACGTCGTGTTGCGGTTTGAATAGAGCCGTGGTTAGGGTTAGGGGCTGCATTTCACACCAATCAAACACGTTTATTAAAATACTGCTCACAGCACCGCACAGGATGAAGATCGCCGCGGGATAGGGCGAACGGGATGCGAGGGGGCGCGCGGCGGTGAGCTCAGCGGCGCACGGGAGCCCCGCACGAACGGGTTTCGGCGCCTCCCGTTCCCTCGCCGCGGGCCTCCTCCTCACTCGGGACTCGGGAGTCTCCCCCCGGCCTCTTGGCAGCGCCGCGTGATTTTGCAGACTCAGCGCTCGACGCGTAACACCCCCGCGCGCGCCGATTAACAACGCGCATGGAACACTCGGCGACACTTGCCGCTCGGCTGCCGTCTCCCACCGGGGGGGGGGGGGGGGGGCATCGCCAAATCATCGGCCCTGGACGTTGCCGACGACGACCGGATCCAGTCGAGGGGTCACGCGAGCGACATTCCAGACCCACGCGTCGCGTTCCCAGCGAGCACCGCGTGACCCGTCGACCAACGAGGGCAAAGCGGGGGGGGGGGGGCAGAGGGTCCCCAAATTGCGCGGCCGCATGGGTGCAGATGCCAGGGGCGTGTGGGGACGCGTGACGACTCCCTCCCACCCGCCGCGGGCAGAGCGCTGCGTGAACCTAGCCTGGCACGAACGCTGCGGTAACGTCACTGTCACTCGGCGGTGAATGGCGGCGGCTGCCGTTTTAGGTGTTTGTGTGTGTGTGTTTAGGTGCTCGCTAACAGCACTTGCTCCAACAGTCTGCCAAGGCTATACGGGGGATCGTTGTTTTTGTGTTTAGGTTGTGTATGGATGTACGTGTGTGTGTGTCATCTTCACGGTTGAACTGCCCTTCGTCGCACGCGCACCCCGTGGGGGATGGATCTGACCGCGTTGTGCGGACGTGTGCTGCAGAAGTCCGAAGACGCAGGTCAGCTCATTGAGCGTGGGCCAGTAATTACTTCCCAAGAGCCTTGCGTGATCAAGACGGTGGCAAGGGCGTCCATCGTTTATCAACGCATTCCACTCTGATGCAGGCGGGTTCAAGCTGAACCGGGTCCAGTTTGAGAACATATCATTTCAGGCGGGGGTTAATGAGAGCCAGATGAAAGAGAGAGATCGATGGGATCAGGTGACATGGCGAATGTGCAGCCGAACTTCAGAGGTTTCGTTAGTAATTACAGCGAGCATCATCGATGATGCTCGTTGCAATTTACTAGCGAAACGTCGTACTCGAATTGTAAATGCTGTGGGTTTTACTCTCAAACACACCGGTGTGCTGAACTAGTAACGAATTGGCAAGTTACGTTTACGTGACAAACCTCACGAATTCGGCTGCATCGGGAGGTGGCGGGTTTAACGACACATTTATATTGACACGATATAACCCCCCTCCCCCAAAAATAGCCTCTATTATGGACACTGCTGATCGAGTCCATTTGTCGAACGAGGTGAGAACTCAAGAGCCCATCGGGAATCTCATTAGCGAGGGTGACCTTGCGAATGTGGACTATTAAACTCTCCTGCCGACGCCTGATTAGCGTCGATTCATTTTTGTGGGATAGCGTACGATTTCGGCATCGCAAGTTAACACGCGTTTCAAACCAATGCACCGCGCTACCGGTTCAATCATCACGTTAGGCTCGTTAACCCGCAGCGGAGCACCAAGGTTCACGCGTCAATTTTCGTCGGCAGCGTTGATTAGGTGAAATGCCATTAAAATATTTTCAATAAAAAAAAATAGCTTCCAAAGTTTTGCTGAGAAGTGAACCATAGAAATGTGGAGTAAACCGGCCACGGTTCTGTTTCGCCGCTCGTGTCATAGCGTAAACCGTCGACGAGAGAATTCTGAGCCACCGTACCACGCACGTGGACAACACGAGTTGTGGCAGGGTGGTAAGGTGTTCATAATTGCCGTGCCAGAGACGCCAACCACCTGACTTGTGGGGCACCTGCGTTCGAATCATGGTTTCAGCCGACCCCTGAATAATCCAGCATTATTAGGTTGAGCGAGTTGAGTCAGCCTGATCACAGGTGACGACTTGCACAACTCCACCCCGATCCCCCACTTATCCCCACACCCCAATCGAATTAAATAATTTTTTTTAATGGCTTCATTAAAATAATTTCAGCCCTGTCGAAATAGTATCGCCATGTGGAAGAGCACTGCCTGCAGGGCACGTGCAGCGCTTGCAAAAGAGGCATGGGGAACATTTTTTGTTTTATTTAAATCAGCGGTTTTCTTGCAACCACCGCAGTGGCGCACGGACTCGCTGCGAGCGGGAGGGGGGAGGGGGGAGGGGGGTCGGTGTGGCGCGCGTTCGCGCCGCCTGTCTCGTGGTGGCGAGGACGCCGATATCGCGCTCTGGAATATAATTGGGCGAAAACATCAAAATACAAACAAAACGAATCGGCCACGACGGCGGCACGATTCGGGGCGGCACGACGACAGCGATGACGGACAGGAGACGCTGCGCGCGCCTGGTCACCGATGCTCATTGATCGTCATCGTCGTCGTCGTCACCATCGTCGCCATAAGCAGCCCTTTAATTAGAGATCAGCAATAAGCCCCCGGGGGGGGGGGGGGGCAAATCCCCGTGGAGGCAGCTCGGCACGCCACACACACGCCCCTCCCCCCACACCCCGCAATTGTTAATTAACCAGTGCCGCCGCTTCGAGCCGCGCGAGCGTGGCTCGAAGCGGCGGATCTCGAGCGGCGCCTTCCCCGGCCAGTGCCGCCGGTGGTCGTGGCGGTACCAGATCGGGTTTCAGTGGCGGAGGTACAGCTCCCATTGGTATGTCCGGCGGTGCAAGTGTTGGTGATGCCACTGGTGTTGTTGGTGACGACGCTGCTACCGCTGGTACTGCTGGTGTTGGCGATGACGGGACGTGGTTGAGTGTCGCCGCCGATACGTGTCATGGTTTGCCCCTTTCTTCTTTCCGTCCGGGCGCTGGGGTCTCATTCCGTCTCATTCCGTCGTTGCCGCGTCTCATTGAGACTGCTCTGTGGTTCTCAACGGCGTCTGCCCCGTCCGCTGCCTCCTGGCACGAGGCCCAGGGCTCGCTGGGAAGAACGCCACCCAAGACGATCGATCAAACGGGGGCGGCAGTCTGACGAGGAGTCTCAACGAGTGCCGGGGCCCGCGGGGGTCTAGAAGCCCCCCCCCTCTCTCGGGGGACCCTACTCATTGACCCCCACAGTTTGTACTTTGAGCTCGTGCCGAGGATTCGCGACCGGTATGGGGGAGGTACCGGGCGCAAGCTCCAGGGACTTCGGCGTGCGTTGAGACGTGGGCTGGCGCGTCGGGCTCCGTCGCACCCTCGGCCAAATTCCTGCGGCGGCACCGCCCCAGGGTTGGCGCGGCAGCGACGCGGTGCCGATTACGGCGCCGATTGGTGCGATTTGGTTACGTTCAGGGAAGATCTCGGGGGTGTTTGGTCGGCTCGCAAGTGTGCACTCCTCCGACCGCGGTTGGCATTGTGCAGCACGCGTGTGTCGTCGCGTACCCGGTGTGTTCGTGCGAGCGTTCAATTGTGCACCGCTGCCGCTACGCACATCCAATGCGCACTGCATGCGAGCTTACGTCCGTGGGTGCGCTTGTGTGTCTGCGAGTTATCGCCGTGCGCTCGTGGTAGCGTGTGTTGCTCTGTAACGGTGACACCTTGTCTTGTCACGGCAGAAGATTATAAGTGAATTTGTGTTGATTCACAGTTCTTGCGATGTGGTTTTGTACGATTGCCAGTCGAGTTGTAGTGTAAAGCTGCAATTCGGCACCGCATTATTGACAACAAGGACAGCCATGTTAATGTGCGACACTTAAACAGCGATAATAATTAGGTTGTTAAAATTCAACACTGCTTGTATCGCCCCCACCCCCCCCCCCCCTCGCGCACCGCCGTTAAGCCACAAACATACTGTTCCAATGTTAGTCGTGTGAATTTCAGTCAAACTGGCTTCATAGGAAACACTTCTTTAAGCTTGAAGCATTAGGGGCAATTAACCAGCCACCACTGCCGCACAGCATCCCATCTCCCTGCGGTGACGAGCGGTGTCCAGTTTCGCCCGGGTCTCCATCCCGCACGGCGCGCGTCTCTCTCCCCCACGGGAAGGATCCGCGCGGCTCCCCGCCGTGCGGACGATCCACGCGTCCCCACGTGGAGGGACGACGCGTCGGCGTCCTCAGTAGGGAGCGAAGAGGATGCTGCCGTGGGCCGTGCGCATCGGTCCGGGCGCCGGACGCAACAGGGCGGGCCCCGCCGAGAACAGGGAGGCGTGGTGCGGGGAGGGGCGCAGGGTCAGCTGCGGGGTCAGAGCCGGCGCCGCAGTCGCGAAGAAGCCCGGTGCCACCGCCTTGCCGATGTCCTTGGGGAACGCCAGCTTGGCCTGCACGGAGAGACGGAAGGCACCGTGGCACGACGCGGTCCCCTTACACGGCGGCTATTTGGACGCGTTAACCAACGCCGCTCGCTGGCAGCGGCTCGCGTGGCGCTCGGCGGAGGGGCAAGAGGTTAAATAAATGCAGGCTATGTGCACCACTCGCTCGAGCTCTGCCCGTTCTCTGCGGTCACGGTGCTACGGTGGCGAGATGTTAACTAGCCCCATCTGGTATCTAGGAGGTCGTGGGCTCGAACCCCACCCCGACACCCGTGTAATTGGGAGTTTGCATGTCTCCGTCTCTATCTCTCTTATCCGTGCTTGTGTGGATTTTTTCTCCGGGTCCTCCAGTTTTTCCCTCCACATTTAGAAACGTGTGTTTATTTGGCTGCTATACATTTCCACAAGACACTTCGTTGAGCTATCATTTAAAGCCAGGTCGCTTCTTCTGAAATAAAACTCACATTGCTCAGTGGGCCTTGCCTGGTAAAATACAAATAGTTTAATAATTCAGTTCTACATCCCAGGATTAATAACCAATGTCTGGGTTGTGTGTGTGATGTACACGGCTAAGTTCATTCCCACGTCCGCAGGTTTACTGACAGCGGAAATTGCCGCCACCATGAGGTGGAAAGAAATGTGGCTCTTTTCTGTTGGTATGTGGCCAGCGAAAGTGACGCAAACGAGAAGGTTGCCAATTTTGTGGAATTTTATGTATTTTTCATTTTCCAAAACCTAACTGGTTTTTGTCGCTCGTGGTGCCAAAAACTAAAAAAAAATTAATCCAGCGTAGGCTCAAACGCTGCCCAAGTTGTTCTCTATTTGGAGGCCAGATATTAAAAGTTGATGAATTTCGTGCCTTCGTCATTTGTAGGAAGAAAAAAGTGACCTCCAAATATAAAACTTTCTCGTGAAACTTTATATATATATGTGCTCTGGGAAACCTTCTTGCGTGATGCATGGCACGGCTGGTGGCTTTCAAGTGGTCGCAGGGAGAGTGTCTCTATTCCGGGATGCACGGGCCTATGCCAGCAGCGAGCATTCCCAAATGAAGGCCGTGACTCGCTGGGACGATTTACGACAACTTCGGCGCAACTGTCACCGGGCAGCACATTTATTTTGAACAGCTATGGGCACTTGATACAACGGTGACAGAGTGATCGAGGCCTGTTCAGCCAACGTAAACCGCTTGCTGAATAGTGCGTTTTGATAAGCAATGGTTGACGGAGTACACGGTGTAACCGGTGCGTGATCATGCTGCGTTGTCACCCCCCTTTCCCGCGTTGGGGGGGGGGGGGGGCGGGAAGCCGTAATGATCCTTGTCCAGATTGCGCAACTACGTGTTTTGTTACAATGGAGCACGGAGTGGCGATTTATTTCCGTTGATGATCGAACGATTAACCACCCCCAGTCCAGGGGTCGGCAACCTGCGGCTCTGGAGCCACATGCGACTCTTTGGCTGCCCCCTTGCGGCTCTTTGTCTGCCCCCATGCGACTCTTTGGCTGCCCCCATGCGGCACTTTGACTGCCCCCATGCGGCTCTTTGGCTGCCCCCATGCGGCTCTTTGGCTGCCCCCATGCGGCACTTTGGCTGCCCCCTTGTGACTCTTTGGCTGCCCCCTTGCGGCTCTTTGGCTGCCCCCTTGTGGCTCTTTGGCTGCCCCCATGCGACTCTTTGGCTGCCCCCATGCGGCACTTTGGCTGCCCCCATGCGGCTCTTTGACTGCCCCCATGCGGCTCTATGGCTGCCCCCTTGTGACTCTTTGACTGCCCCCATGCGGCTCTTTGGCTGCCCCCATGCGGCTCTTTGGCTGCCCCCATGCGGCTCTTTGGCTGCCCCCATGCGGCTCTATGGCTGCCCCCTATGGCTCTGGCTGCCCCCTTGCGGACAGCCATAAAAAACAAAAAACTTTAACCTTAAAATGTTTTATCCTCAAGATAATTGATTCAATATGACAGGGGAATGGGTCACACCGTGTACCACAGTCAAACTGTCGTGTTAACAAATAATGATGGGGGGGGGGGTAAAATCTAAATAGACGCAGTTTATTCCATCACCAATTTTGTTTCAGTCAGAAATTGTTCGTCGTCTGCTGTATACTTGCTGCTGCTATGTTTGTGGACAAGTAGCTCTGTGTGTAATGTGGATATTTTGGGCAATACAACAGGAGGTGTTAAGATGTTCAAACACCATATAGAAACATTTTGCAAGGAATCAAGTCTGCATTGACCATACACAGTACTTGCGGTGAACATGCAAACAAACGTGCTCTAATAATATATGCATTTTTTATTTTGATTTGAAGCTTTCGTGACTGCAGGGATTCATATTCTTGGTTATTTCGGTAAAGTCCCTTCTACGTGACTTTACCGAAAGAACCAATAATATAATATATGCATTGTCTTTGAAACTGATTAGCCGACACCAGACAGCCTTCTTTATCAGAGAAATGCTATTTTGTATGTTCACCACAAGTACTGTGTGGTCAATTGAACATCTTAAAAGTGTAAAACCTCTTCTTGTTTTATATACTTTGATGCTGGCAAAAAAGGTCCCATGGTGTGCTCCTCTTCTTGATGAGGTTTGCCTCCCCCCCCTCGCCCCACCCCCCCGCCCCTTCTCGGCCGCGCGAGTTCATGCCATGCGCACCGAGCCCGCCACGTGGTGGGGGCGGGGGGAGGGGGGGGGCGCCGTCCTTACCGAGATGATGCCCGCGGTGCAGGGCAGCCGCGTGTAAGGGCTGAACTTTGGCTTGGGCGGTTTCCCCGCCACCCGGTCCTTGTGCCGACGGCTGGTGATGTGCTGTGGGTGACAAGGGGGGGGGGAGGGGGCATACCCCGGGTTACTACGATGGGGGGGGGAGGGGGGGATGCATTGCGTTAAAAATAACTGCTGCTTTCAGATGTCGTGCGCCATGATTTCACTGGAAACTTGGCAGGCGTGCGCTACGCGCAAGGGCGGCTGCCCCCCCCCAGAGAGAGACCCCCTTACGAGCTGCGTGATCACGCGGTTGGCGCGGGGGGCACCGCAGGCATTTCCACAAATTCAACCGCTTCCCTCGCGACGTGCACAACCCGTACGTGTGGGCACTTCACAAAGCACCGGCCGTGGTCAGGCTTCGGGAATAACCCCCTCCTCGGTGCGCACGGCGGCCGACTCTGCCAGGCCGTGGTTACATTCGGGCGATTTGCTGCTAAATTGAGCACCGAGGTGGTGGTCATCTGTTTACACCCCCCCCCCCCCACCAGTGGTGGAAATATCACATTCCTATGGCGGGGGTGAGTCGATCCAAAGGACAACCACTGTTGACTTTCCTCCAACAAAAGTGGTATTCCTTTTATCTACCCCGGCGGGATGATGGGCTGAGTTGACCCTCACGCGGGATTTGAGCTCCCAACCTTCTGGTTGCGAGCCGCTCGCTCCACCGCTGAGCCACCGGGCGGGATTATTAATCGGATTAAACGGTCGTCGGCCGAGCCGGGCCGGCGATGAGTGCCAAGGTGGCCCTGGCTCAGGGAGCGTTGCTCGCGATGCCACTCAGATGGAGCCGACCGCCGCGAGCACGCAGGAACAAAAGGGGGTGGGCCCTCGTCAAGCCACTAGATGGCACTGCAGCCTCTAACGCTGCTGGGTCATCAGCTCTTGCACGGTGCGTGGGGCGGCGGGAATTTTCGACTCTACTGGTGGGCCACATTAAAAAATTGGCGCGCGTTTGTGAGCAAACGTGATGATGTTGCGCGGTGCGCGTTTCAAATGGCGCGGCGTTAGAATGTCTCGGCACTCGCGTCTTCTCCTTTTCACCCCACTCATCTTCAGCGCTCTCGTCTTCGGCTCAAATTCCACGAATCTGTATATCTTTGTGCCTCGGCGAGCCGTATCTCAGAGGGCCGTAACTTTGCGAGCCACTCCCGGAGTCTTCGGTGGGCCACATGGGACTCAAGAGGGTCGTCAGCTGAAGAACCCTCGTGGAAAGCGAAAGTCAGTGGTTTCCCACTCAACTGAGTGTGGGACAGCGCCAATGGAAATTCCACATTCCTATGAGGGGCATGTCTTGTCGCAGGAGAACCACTCGTGTCGTCCTCACAGTGGTGCTTGGTTAATTTATTATTTTTATTTTCATCAACCGCGCGCCCTTAAGGGACGAACGGTTCGGTTGCTCCTCGACCTCGTCTCTGCACGTGCGGCACGTGCAGAGAGCGACAGTGGCGTTGACGAGCAGAGGCGGTGGGGGGGGATGGGCAGACGCCCTTTGACATCGCAAGCCTGGCACGGTTTACCGCGCTCGAGCTTAGTGCCAACGCGGCGTCGGGCCGATTTAAGTGGTCCGCTTTCTGGGACGCTCGAGATGCTCACGATCCGCCGTGAACCCCCCGCTCGCTCGCTCGCTCGCACGCTCGTATGCGTTTCGCCGCCTGCACGCGCGTGCGCCGATAAACAAACGCCGCGCACGCCAAGGATCTGGTCCGAGCCGCGGATGAAGCTCTCTTGCCGCCGTCGTGCCTGCTAGCAAGACGGATGGTCGCCGCGTTGCTGGCTGCCTCGCTGGCTGCCTCGACTGGGAATACGATCCATCAAACCTGCCACTTTAGCGCTGGTTACGGGGAGGGAAAACTTTGTCAAGTGTAAGCAATTCCGGCACACACGTCAAACTCCGAATGCTTTGGCCTCATCTCGGCGTCCGATGTCTATTTCGACTGCTGCACCAACTGGGCCGTTAATAGGGTGGCACCAAATCGGAGGGGAAAAGTACAGAGAAGATGAGGATTGTTTTTTTTATATGCGAAGCACCATGGAGCCATGGCATTAGCAGGTTGGCACACTGCAGTGCGAACCTGATGATCCGAGTTCACTTCCCAGCCGCGGCTGACATGAGCGGCGAGGAGCAAGTGAACTGTTGCTGGCACCACACCACCACCCGTTTCCCTTCACCAACCAGCACTGACCAGCATGGTGAAGTATAGTCAACAACCCCCCCCCTCCCCCCCCCACACTACTAAAGGATCATTAATAAGAGGTTTTTGTTGGGTTAGATCGCGTAAATATAAATGTGTCGTTAAAACCGCCACCACTCGACACCGTCAATTAGTGAGGTTTCTCGCGTAAATAGACCATGCCAATTCCATACGAGTACAGCACACCGGTGTGTTGGAGAGCAAATCCGCAACATTTACAATTCGAGTACGACGTTTCGCCAGTAATTACAACTAGCATCATCAGGCGACAGCGAGATTTGTGGAGACATCCTCCTGTTTCGTTCTTAAATACTCAAGCGATCCTCCATCCAGCAGTGGCGTGACAAGGACTGTAAATCATGGCATATATTTATTCACAGCTTCGTCTTCCACACAAAAACCACACGTTGGGAGAATCTCCCTCTTCATCAAAAAAAACTGCGGGCAATTTGCCAAGGCAATGCGTTTTTTGGATGTTTAGTCAAGACGTAGGGCCCCGGCCCAAATCGCCTCGCGTGAAACCAAACATTTGTGTGGCCCTAAAGATTGCGGTTTCAAACGATGTCTATTGATTTTCGAGCTGCGACGGTGTTGAGTGTCGGCCAGGGAGCAGGCCGCACAGGAAGGGAACCCAAACCGCATCCGTGGCGGTGCTGTTGCAGTGGTGCGACTCGGTCGTGCGACGCGGCGGTGGTGTGTCGGTGGTGTGTCGGTGCGAGTGAGCAGTGCGACGGCGCGGTGCGTTGGTGCGACGCGGCGGCGGTGGTGTGGCGGTGGTGTGGCGGTGCGACTCAGCAGTGCGCCGCGGCGGTCGCGCCGCGTGGTGGTGCGGTGGCGCTCGCCTGCTTGAGCTGCGTCTCGGAGTTGACGCGCACGTCGCACAGCTCGCAGTGGAACACCTTGTTCTGGAGGCCGGACGGGTCGGCCGTGCCGGCGCCCGCGCCGCGCGAGCCGGGCCGCGGGTACGCCTTGATGCTGCCGCCGCCGCTCTGCGCCTCGAGCAGCGTCTTGTGCATGGAGCCTGAGGGCCCGGGGACGCACGGGGAGAGGCACGTTGGGGCGAAGCCGTGGACACGCAGAGGGAGGACGCGGGGACACGGGGACACTCGGGGTGAGACCGGAACACGCAGACGCGCGCTGCGACGCACGGGGGACACGAGAACATGACGCTGTACTCTTTGGTTCTATTCGGTAAAGTCACGTAGGTAAAAAAATTGAACCAAAGAGTATGGATACTTGCAGTCACGAAAGCTTTAAATCTAGAACATGACGCTGATTTCCCTATTGCGATGACGTCATTGTTGTTTGCGCCCTTTCTTTATTTGTGTATTTATTTTTACTTGGTCGTAGCCGTGTATATATATAATTAACGTACAGCATTCGTTGGACGCAATTAGCATGAACGATGCCGTACGAAACGAAAGCATTATTATTATTGTTGGACGCGTAGACACACACGTGGGGAGGGGCGGGGGATGGAGAGACATGCAGAGGGATGGGAGAGATGCACGCCGGCAATGGAGAGACACACACACACACAGACACCGGTCAGGTACGCACGGGGACAGACACGTAGGCGCGCACAGGGCCCGAGCGTGAGAGGCTCGCACGCGGTCCGGAGACCCTTCCTAATCACGCGATCGTCATGCGCGGGCACACGGCACCGACAGCGCTCCTCAAAAGTCGAGCTCCGACTGCGAATTGAAATTCCGCGCGGTTCCTCTGTAACGCGCCACCGTTAGTCATGCCTGCCCTGCAATGCGACGTTCTAATTTGATTTCTCAAAGTTAGCGCTTTTCGCCGCACCTGGAGACGGAATCTGTTGGCCACTTAAAACCGCTCCCGACGTGGATTTGCGGCGAGCGTTTTGAAGCTCTGCGCGTCTGGCAAAGTATGAACCTCGCCATTACTGTCCTGCCACTGGTGGCTCTGTGTGGGGCCCAATTTAGCCTTTGTATTTATTTTAACGTAGCTGCACGTGTACATTAACTCAGCCGAGCAGCTTAAGGGGGTGCTTGTTAAAGCGCCAATCCTGATGGCACGCAGCGTGCCAGCTTTAACGGGATAACCGTGCCGGGCTCGCAGAGGTTATTAGAAACCCGGGCTACAAAATCCAGCGTGGATCGGCTTGTAAAATAATTAAATGTGTTTTTTAAGGGGGGAGCATGTCGAGCAGCGCTGGACAGTCCCATGTGGCGTGACGTCGTGCGTCATCTCTCGGCCGTAAAACTCGGGGGGTGGCGGAGACGCTGGCCGTCGTGATGAAGACTTGTCCTGCGGCCCAGGGCTCCGAGTGGCACCGCTGTTTGACGGGGTTTTTGTCTCGTTTACTTTCCAACATTCTCGGCTTGCGAGGTGTCGCAGGTGGTGCCGCTGTGTAACGCGTAGCGGGAGACCGCCGTGATTAAAGACTCGCGCCCCGCGGGGCTCTGTAGCCGACGGCCGGCCGGCCGCGCTTTGGGGCACGCAGGCGCTACCGAAACGTAGCCCGGGCCCTCGCAGCCGGTGGGTGGTCCCGTTGCGGGCGAAGCCCGGACCCCACGTGCGGCACCCGGGATGCCGCAGGCTAACGGATCCACGGCTGCGCGATCGGAGCGGGCCCACGGGGTACCGCACGGAGAGTTGGGCCCCTCTGCCTCGAGCCGTACCGTTGTTGTGAGCCTCCATCTGCGACTGCGAGTTGAGAGCCACTTTGCAGAGGGAGCAGAACAACGCCGCTTTGGCCTTCTCGTCTCCCTCCGCCTTGGCGTCCCCACCCTTGTCGTCCTCGTCCTTTGCGGCCGCGTCTCCGCACGCCTTGGCGTCCTCCGCCGGGCCGCTGCTCGCCGCTCCGGAGCGCGTGCTGCTGGGCAGGGCGGGGCTGAGCTGTAACACAAGAGCGGGCGCAGCGCACGCAGTGCCGGGTCAGGCCTGGCCGCACGAGCGCCCCGCGGCCAGGACGCTGTCACCGGCGCTCTCCCCAGTCACCGGCGATGGACACTCGCCCCGCTGTAGCGCCCGGGTGCGGCTGTGTGCTCCGCGCACAGGCAACCGGGCGTTCAAATCCGACTCTTTCTGCAATCGATGGGAAATCATCGGGCTGAAAACAATTAGAATGTGGAGGTCACACGATGGGCATGAAAGGCGTGATGGGAGCCGTGGTTTTCCGGCTGCTTGCATGCAATATAAGCAAATGCGGCGACGCGCTCACGTGCTTGTGCGTGTGCCCACGTTGTGACCGGAAAGTGGCGTGGTCCTTTGTGCTGTTCGTAAGTAGCAATGGTGATATAATTATAATCAGCGCATTTGCAAACCCGCCCCCCTGAGAGAGTCACTGAACGTAAGTCATTAATGCCTGTAATCTTACAGGCCAAGGAGATTATTTCAAGCATGGCTTTACATTCAAAGCTGCAACAAAAAAAGACCATTTTGCTCGTGGCCATCAGCGGCAGCTCGTATTTTATCTCTCATCCACCATTATTATATTTATGAGCATGTACATTTTTAAAGTCAAAAATTAAATTTTCTCGTGAGATTAATAACGCAGCAGAGGTAGGCTGCTTAAATGATCCTTTCAGGGGAAAAACTAAAAAAATGAAAGCGCCGGCTGAATACCATGCACGGCATTAATCACCTTTGAAGGCTTGGCTCCATCTGTCTCTGTCGGACCGCAACACGGCACGGTGGCGCCGGTCCCGCTGAGCTCGACACCGCCATAGCCGCCCTCCCGGCTCGACCCGAGGTCTTCCGGGCACGGGGACGCGACTCCCAGCGCCACCGCGGAGTCGGCGGCGGCGGCGGCTCCGCTCGGAGCCGCCTGCCTGGGCACGGCGCCGGCAAAGTCTTGTTCGGCGGGCTCGTCGGCGTGGCCGCTGGTGCTCGCGGCGCTCGAGCAGTCGAGGGGTCCTCGGGCGACGCTGCACGCGCCGGGTTGCGCTGCGACGGAGACGCCGCCGCCGACGCCGGGTGCCGGGTCAGCGCCGTCGCTTGCCGAGCGCTGCGCTTGGAGGCTCGCGGAGGCGCCCTCCGCCAACAGAGGTCCGCCGTCTGCTTCTGACGACATCGGCGAAAACGTCGGAGAAGCAGCTGGGGTCACGGTCGTTACGTTGGTTTTCTTTTTTATTTGGGTCAAGCGAGCGTCGAGGCAGCGCTCGTTTCTCTCTCGTTCGAAGTCCCGAGCCAGCGGTGGCAATTCCGCATTTCTGTGGCAGGGGTGAGTCCATCCCATGGAACAATACACATGTATCACTTTATCCACCCCACAAGGACGATGGCCCGAGTCAATCATCAACCAGGATTTCAACTCGCAGCCTTACGGTTGCTTGCCGCTCGCTGCCACCGCTGAGCCGCCTCGCCGTTTGGCGATAAGCGCGCGCACGTCGTAATAAAACGTCTCTACGTCTTGGACACAGGAGCAGCCAAGGTCACTGCACGCTCCGATCCACGGTCTCGCGCAAATCGAGCCTCTGGCAACGTGTTCACCGCCCCCCCCCCCCCCCTCCATGCTCGCTGCATCGTCGGGGGTGCCTGTATCGGTTACGTTGTCAGGATGCGTCCGATGGGGAGTGTGTTTTTTATTACCCTGACCATGAAGGAATTTTTCTGGGCCAGTGAAACTTTCAACTTTCCTTCTCTGCGCCATCTCCAGACAGTGTTGCACATGTTTCCCATCGTGGATGAGTTTCCTGACACTGGAATACAAGGCAAGTTTGTGGCCCTGGAACCAGGATCTGACTGAGTAACGGCCTCTCCTCGTCACCCCTTCCAAATGCCTCTCCACGGATGGGAGACTGCATTGTCTCGCATCATCATCATCATCATATGAGGGGAATTCTCGCTGTTATCCGCACACTTTTGTCACCGGACTGCTGCGGGCGCTTTCTTTGCAACTGCAGGAACTTGCTCACAGCTCGACAACGAGTTGTTACATCTTCAACGGGCCTCCACCTCGCTGGATATGAATCGCTTGCACTGCCGTTCAAGGGGATGGACGCTCGGGAAAACACTATCGCCACACAAGTGTCAAGCTGTGCCATCTTACAATCATATTTTCACGGCGATGGTGAAAACATCTTCACTTTCCCGTACATTTTGGGTCCCAGCCAAAAAAAACTAAACTGTATTTTATTTTCCCAGGTAAGGTCCATTGAGCTATATAGCTTTTTATTAGAAGCAACCTGGCCACAAATGATAGCTCAACGAAGTGGCTTTTGATCTGGAAATGTAGAGCAGCCAAATACTCTAAACGTGTGATGTTGATTCTAAATGTGGAAGGACAAACCGGAGGACCTGAAGAAAAGCCACACGACCACGGAGAGAAAGAGAGAACACGCAAACTCCAAATACACAGCAGGCGTCAGGGTCGGGATCGAATCCACGACCTCCTGTATTATACCAGTTGAGCTAGAACCTGCCAGTCACGTGACCCCACACAGAGGTGAGGACACCCTTTGCAAAAAGCAGATGCCGGGCGCTCGCGTGCGTGGTGCATGGTTGAGCGCTGGTGCAGGCCACCTTCTGTGGGTCCGGGGTCGCTCGCGTCGCCACGGGAGGGTGCGGTCGGAGCGCAGGCCGCCTGGGCGGGGGTGGTCCCGTCCTTGCCTGGTTCACGCTCGGCCTGGTCGGCCGTGTCACCGGCCTGCTTGGCCTTGCTGATCTCCAGGGCCTTGAGGCGCTTGGCGTGCTTCCCGCCCTTGTAATGTGCCGTGGCCTGGCTCTGCGAAGCGGAGGTTGCGCGTGACGGGCAACGCGTTAACGGCGAGACCGGGCGGACAGCGAGGTGTTAAACGTGAATTAATGGCTACGCAGGGAGCACGCCCATGGGAAATGTACAACCCCCACTGACAGTAATGAACGGGCGAGAGTGAAATACAGACCGTTTCGCGAAAACAGCATGATGTGCGTACGAAATCAAGGCGTGTGCCTCCCACCGGCACCTCCCACTAGCGCCGAGAGCTACTCCTACCGGAGTCGTAGGAAAATGGCCACTCGGGCCGTGGTGTTGAAACTCGCTGTGGACTTCCTGAGACAATCGTTATGCGCTCGGGGAAGTTCCCAGGACTCTTTTGATTCTCGGCAGTTTTATTGGTGCCAGCGTCGAGTCTACGGAGTCACCACCGTACAGAATGCACGTGCGGGTTTGGCCGTGGGAAAGGCAGGGAGCATCCCACAAGCCGGCCGCGAGAGGGAGGGAGAGCCCAGCGGTGGCAAACCTTTTTGCAACCACCCGAATCCGGGCAGCGTCAACACCAAAAAAACAAAAACGTTGAAAGGGGTCGTAGTGAACATCAAGAGGTGGGTCTCGAGGTAGATTTGACATTGATATCACTGCTGCCTGTAAGTTGGCAAGTTGGTTATGGGTAAGGCTGGTACTTGTAGCTGGCCAGTTAGTTATGGATACGGCTGGTACTAGCGGTTGGGGTAGAGCTCGTACTAATTGATTTGCGTGGTTCTCTACGTACGGTGCGACAAAAGAAGCTCAGCATACATACGTACAAAAGCTGCTTGGCTAATTGGCTATGGTTAGGGGTTAGGGGCTAGTGCAGACATGGGCAAAGTACGGCCCCCGGGCCGTATACGGCCCGTTGGGCTTTTTAATCCGGCCCGCCGAACTTGTCATGTAATGATTTTTACATGTCATTTATATTAGTTCACACAAACACTCCATCCACCTGTTCCTGGCCCGGCCCCTTTGTCAAATTTTAGAACCCATTGTGGCCCGCGAGTCAAAATTTGCCCACCCCTGGGCGAGTGCCAGTGCCAGGTTGGTTCACGGCTGCACGTAGCATCGGGTTGGTGGGTTGGCTGATGTGCTCAGCCATCAAACTGCTCGCCTCTCCCCGCCCCCCCCCCACCCCAAATTGGGTGGCATGGCCCTTTCAGACTTTGGGCCACTCTTTCGTCTCCGGTGCCCACAACGACCTGCAGGGGAAATGTGCGTCAATACTTAATTATCCCAAAAGTGGTCCGTCGATACGTCCGTTAGCGCACTTGCGTGCGTCTCCCGACTTCTTCAAGCGGGCGGCGGTCTGATGCTGCCGGTGGGCCATCCGTCAATGCCGGCGCATTAAGGAAAGTGATTAGGGCCTCAGTATTGGACGGCCAGACCCAATGCTGCTGGCCTGGTTCTGTTTGCGATCTCTCCCCGGGCCCCACCCACCCCCTACCTCTACCCACCCCCCCACCCCTCACCCCCCCGGCTTCTGATTGTGTGGGTTTCGAAGTTTTAATTCCACCCGTGCAAGCTCGAGAGATGGGACTTGGGCACTGGGAGAACGGTGCCACTTGACACAAACGGCGCGCAGCTTCCAAAGGAGCCGTGTCAACTCCTTTGTTTGGAGAATTCTAAAAATCTACAATGTTAATGGAAATTTCCATTTTGCTGCGTGAAAAAAGCGCCGTTATTGTCGAATAATCCCAACTTCAGAGAGAATTCATGCGCAGATGTCTGCGCGGAGCTTATTCGCACGACGGCATTAGATTCGCCGAACAATAAACGTGAAGACCGATCATTATTAATTCTTTCCAGTGATTTGAATTCAAAAGTCGATGGTGTGCAGTGAATGAGTGAGCTTGTGAATCATTTCACTAAGGCCATTACCGAAGCGCTGTGTGGACGTGAACGCAACCAGAATCCGCACTTCTCCGATAGCGCTGTGACGAGCGGACATTTTTTTTTCCCGAGTTTTTGCCAGCGGAATATTTCGTGCGATGTCTGATAATCAATGCTGGGAATAAAGCCGCATCGATGCCACTTCGCTGTGATAACGTACACCGAGGACGACGTGAATTGGTCTCCTGGGAGCACACAGTCCAGTGAAACGTGACTCCAAAGCAGGACATTTCTGAACCTCGTCACCCGAAGGTCCCCGAAACTCCAATGTCACACGAGTTCTAAAACGAGGACGCCTGTGCTGCAGTCATTGCAGACGCAGTCTGCAGTGCCGGAACCACTGGTGTCTGCAGGACATGCCCCCGAAGCACTACGGGCGAGGGCAGCGGTGATGAAGAGACCCTTAAAAGCCCCGTCCTGCTCATGAACGCCACGCGTATGCAGAGCAGATTTACTGCGGCCAATTAAATGTGCCTGGCCGAGCGTAATTACCAGCGCTGAGGAACGAGATGCTGGGGCTTCGCTGGGCGTGAGCATCCACAGCACTGATCCATTTCTATTTATTAATCGCAGTCCCACAGGAAGGCCAGAGGTGATTGGTCAATTGGTTCAATCAGTGGGGGGGGGGGGGGGGGGGGGGGGGTGGTTGCTTATTTATTTACTTGGTGCGTTTTATTTCACTCGGAAATTTACATCGCAGGATTGCATTCGGCGAAACGTGGCACGTTAAGGGGACGCTGCGTCCAAAACGCAGCTCGCGAGGGCGCTTTAATGGCGCTGGCGCCGGCGGCGATGACCGCGTTGTGATGTTTCCTAATTAGAGGCTTATATTTAGATGAGGTCAACGAATAAATGGATGAATGCGGAAACACGTGTAGTCGTTTAAAACGGCAACCCCTCCGAATCCCGAGGTCAGAATGTCCCGTTTTAACCCAGTTGTGCCAGCGACGTTCGAGTTTGAACGAACGCTCGACTGTGACGGAGCTCGACACCGCAGCAGAAGCGCAGGCGGGGGAGGTCGAGTTCATCTGGCATCCCTCGCCGTCGACTCCCGTGTGTGGCGAGATGGCACAGGAGCCGCTCGGATGTCCCCCCCACCCACCAAATCGCACAATGGTTACCATCCAACGAAGAGTCGTGTGGTTCCTTATCTGATAGCAGCTGCTCGCAGACACACGGCCATGCAGTTGCACAAGTACATTCTCACAGACGCGCGGACAAATGCTTGTACAGACTCGGACAAAAGGCAAAGATGCTTTAACAGACTGTTGGGGCAAGTGCTGTTCATGAGCACCTATGAAGACCGGCACGGCACACGAGGGGGTGGGTGGCCGGATTTGTTTCCCAAGTGGCGATATTTACACACCGCACCAGGTACTCCTTTGAGGCTGAGTCGACCTAGGGGAGGCCCAGGACTGGTTCAGATAATTGTCACTGGTGTTGGCCGTGAGCGGGAATGGAACTCGGGTCGCTGAGTTTATAGCGCGGCGCGCTAACCACTACAACACTACTCTCCGCACATACTCTCACAGACATGCGCTCAAAGTTGGCATAGCCTGACAGTGCACGGTAATACACCAGAAATAGTGAACCACCGTGCATGATGTAGAGGCATCTTGTGGAAACAAGCTCATGTTTGGGTTAAAAATATATCTTATTCCAGATTTGTTGACAAATCAAAGCGAACATTATCGTGCACATTGTGACGCACCATGAAAAAAGAGTAATTCCGAGAATGTGAATGGAATGTAAGCTTCGGTTGATGAGGGTTTAAAAAATAAATAACAACTAAAAATAGCATTTTTGAATGTCTAACTCCTACCTGGTGACCCAAAGCACATGTTTTATATAATGTAAGGGGCTTGTTAGGTAACCCGGCTTCTGCGATTCTTGTGAAGGGAACAGTGGAGGGTGGCTCGTGTATGTACGAGCGAACACGGCTCCTCGACAAGGCAATTAAAAACTGTTAATTACTCTGAAACTCTTAATTACTCCTGAAAAGTGCGTCTAAATATTAAATTGCCATTTACCATTACTATATGTCAAACAGTTACATAATTTCGCTGAACCGAAAAAAAAGAGCATGCCCACCCTACACACCACGCGCGCAAGCCATCCTCGGCGATTTAATACAATTAACTCCTGAATTAAATATCAAATGTTACCAATGCTTTCTTTTCATCTGTGAAGAGCAAAGCGAGCACCGGTTGGTCTCCCGCTGCCACCAACGCAAACACCCCACGTCAACGGAACAAAGATGTCGCCCCCCCCCCCCCCCCCCCGACTGTCGCTCAGTTTCAACTCCGCATTCACGATTCATTCATTTGTACCCTGGTCATGCGCATGGGCGCCACGGTGGCGAGATGTGAGCTACCTCGCGTTTGGTATACAGGAGGTTGCGTACTCGAATTGTAAATGTTGTGGATTTGCTCTCCAACACACCGGTGTGCTGTACTGGTAAGAATTGGCATGTTCTGTTTACGTGACAAACCTTACTAATTGGCTGTGTCCGGTGGTGGCGGGTTTAACGGCACATTTTTACCTGCGCAATCTAACCCAGAAAACCTAAATTATGGAGGAGGTTTGCTGGTTCGATCCTGACCCTGACACCTGTATATTTGGAATGTGTATGTCTCTCACGTGCATTTTTTTTCCTCTGGGTCCTCCAGTTTTCCCTCCACATTTAGAAAGCGTGCGTTTAGAGTATTTGGCTGCTATAAATTTCCACGTTAAAAGCCGCTTCGTTGAGCTATCATTTGTGACAGCAAGGTCGCTTCTGAAAAGGGAGCTATATAGCTCAGTGGGTGGGCCTTACCTGGTAAAATAAACATAGTTATAGGTTATTCATCAATTTCAGCATCAAATCATGCGCACTATCTGATGCTGGGATCACGTACGAGTCAATCGAGGATTTGTCCCTATTCGGGGGTCAGAGGTCGGTTGTTTTTTTACTCATTTGAACCGTCTCATCGGATCTCATCGGTATAATCCCACTCATTCCATTACTCTCATCGCAGCATTTCTGTGTGTGTTGTGGCCCACACGTGTGTGGTGTGCCTGTCGTGGCAGGTTGCAGGTTTGTTGTCCGGGTATGCATAGCGCGTGCCGAGTTTATTGTGACCGGGTATGGGAAGTGTTGGCAGACCGTTGTCATGTGGCTGTGGAGTGGGTGGTGTGGCCGCACTTGGGCCATGTGGCCAACCGAGTTGTGGCCGCTTTGTAGCTCGTGTGCTGGGTGCACCTCTCCCTCACGGGGGAATGGGCGCGCGCAGGCGCGGTGAGAGCCGTGCGGGAGAGGTGAATCGCGTTTTGCTCCGAGGCCGTTGAGCGTGATTTCCCGGGTACACGCGCCTTTGACCCGTGTCCCCGCCGATCAATGTCAGGCCGGAACTAAATGCTTGCGAGCGTCACGACAGCGTCAAAACCCGGTGCCTTAATCTGCTCCGTTGCTGGCCAAACCGAAGGAGAACGCTCGTTAATTATTCACGTAAAAAAAAAAACACGTTTCGCCGTCTCGGGAGAGGGTTTGGTTGCGGTACGTCGAGAGAGGCCACATGGGGGACGGGAGCGCCGATGACCACCTCCCTCCCTACCTCCCTCCCTTTGCGGGCGACGCAGGCTGTCCTGACGAAGGCTCGTGGATTACGACGGGGCCGGGCAGGACGATCCATTACTTCGCCCGTGTACCCGGTGGTGGGAGTTCGCCGCAATGAATCGTGCACACACCTGGCCGCATTGCGCGCACGCTCTGGGATGAAAACCACATCGCTATTAACGATCGTTAAAAATCCTTATCCATTAGGGGTCCACTGCAGGAATCTCAAACATGCACAGAGCGTCCGTGCTGGGGGCTAGGGGTTTGGGGAGACGCGCTCTGCGCGGGCGACTGTTTGGTTTTGAGAGTTGCGACGACGCGGGGATCGCTCCGGGGTGTTTGTGGATCGTGTGCGTTTAGCGGTACCCGGGAGAATGGGTGGTCTTTGACGAACAAGCTGCACACGGAGAGACATTTTTGCGGGGCAGACGCCGACGGGCGTAGGCTTGCATGGGTACGAGTCTCTCCCCGCCCGCGTTGGCACAAAGGAAACATTTATTACGGTTGACGGGATTGTCTGCGATCATCACAACATCGTGCGTGTTGTTCACACGGCAGTCGCCGGCGCACCAAAGCACCTTCCTGTGCAGAGCACCCAGAAAATTCATCATATCTATTTAATAATTTAACTGTAACGTTGGGCAAGGGATTCCACCCCCTACTTCTCCACACATGACCATTCTGCCTCCACTTTGATTTGGTGTTTAAGTTTTCTGGCCCAGGCCTCAGTGTTGTTCTTGACACTGCTGCAGCTCGGCTAACTGAAAGGGCTACACAGTGCTCAGAATAGCGGCCAAATGGACGTTGAGACGTCTCCGGTAATTAAGGCGACATTCGCCGTGTATTGTAAGTGTGTGGGCGGCAATTTGTTGTTTCATAGTACGCAAGGGATGAAACGTTCCAGGGATTTTGCTCGCATTTATTTACGGTAACCAAGGAAATTGGTGGCTTCAGGACAAGATGGTTAAAAGGGATTATGAGAATGAAGGCAATTAAATATGGAGTCCCTAAGAGCGAACGTGAAGCCGGGCGATTGGCTCTTCTTGGTGGATCTCAAGTACACCTATCTGCATGTTTCCATGGACGTAAGAGAAAACACATTGTTGAGGTTCTCTCAATCCTGGTCATACACAAATTCTCCGGGACAAAGAGTGCTATGACGAATCAGCATTCTACGGGGTCGCGCTAAGCAAGGTCTGCCTGTACAGCCTTCTGATTTGGAAACACATGCTATATAATCCTCACCACTCATTGCTAAAAACCTGGCAGGACCCTCCTGAAAAAAAAAAGAGTCTTGAGACTCGGATGAGGCTTTCCTGAGTGAGCAAGCGTAGCAATAATGCCTCCAGCGGAGGTGCACGGGGGGTTGCTTGCGTCGGCGCTAGGAAAGTAGCGTTGCGCATGGGAACATAGCAAGTGGGGTGGTGGGGGGGGGGGGGAAGGGGCAGGCGCTCCGAGACCTTTGGGGCCCTCGCGAGCCACCCTCACCTCGGAGTTGAAACGGAGTTGGCACACGTTGCACGAGATGACGTGGCGCTTGCGCGGAGGGAGAGGCAGGTGGAAGGGTGCGAGCAACGCCTTCTGCATGGGATCCATCTGCGGGTGGGGGGAGAGAGGATGGGGGGGGGGGGGCGGGAGACGTGGTCACCTTCGCATCCGATCTGCACCGGGGGAGCAAGGGCCATTCGAGGAATGGGTCTTCAGGGTTGGCCTAGGCCTGGTGGCCTTGGCAAGATCGGCAAAGAGAAGGAGAGCTGACGGTCGGCCTGCGGCCGGCTATTGCCACTGTTGCTCGCACGGCTGCCGATGTTAAAACCCTTTTTTATTTTTTACCGCGTACCAGTTTTCTAAGCACCGCACACAAAAAAACACGTGTATTATACATATTTAAAACCTTGTGTAAAGTGTTAGAAGTTGCTTAGAAAACTGGTACGCGGTAAAAAAAAGAGGAGTTTACACATCGGTAGGGGATGGCAAGAGATGCGTAAAAGTTGCCATCGCAGGGGCCCCGTGGCCCGCGCGAGGTGCGGCAAGTGGAGGAGTCGGGCTCCACCCGTCGCTCTCCCACCGGCCCCGTGCCAGCCGGCCGGCCAGCGTACTTCCCCACCCCTCTGAGCCACTGCCCCGACACCGCGGAGCCAACCCGAAAATTCCCGAGCCGCCGGCTTCGTCGTGGCACACGGCAAGCAAGCGCCGCGGGCCGTCGTGGCGTTTCCGCCCTCTCGCGTTCGCGATTCTCACTGATCGCTCGTGACAGCCGTCTGCAAGTCGTGCGCCATGGGAGGATGGCACGTGAATTATATATACACACACGGCCCATGACACCGGGATATATTAATTATTTGTCGCATTAATATATAACCAGGCATTAGCATTGCAACAACAAAAGGGATCATGGGAAGTAGAAACAAGTGTGCGTCCCTGACGAAGATTCATGTCTGTGTTTTTAACCTTTCGTACGGAGAATATTTGGGCTAAATGCTCTGCAAAGTATCAATAATAAATATAATGTAATCCACTGGGCGGAGTGTTATCTATGCTGTTTTGTATGGGGTCTCCCCGGGGTGCTGCGGGCAACATAATCAGCAGACGAGAGAGGCACATTAGCATTGTTTAACTGATGGCAAGATCAGCGAGCAATTAAGGCCGCATGCTAATTCGGCACAAGCGCCACCCAGGTGAATGCACCTGGTAATTAGGGCGCGCAAAGTCAGCGACTAGATTCTGAGGCGCACCTGCAATCCAAGCCCCCCTCTGGTTGCTCCCGGACGGCGGGGGCAAGGCCCTTCCCAGCATCCCCCTCGTGCCGTCCCTCCTGCATCCACTCATTTGATTTTGTTGTACAGTGGTGGCTTCTGTAGTTATGCACGCAGGACGCAGCTCCTCGAGAGCCCGGGTGATCGAATGCCGGGCGTATCGAACCGTGTGTCCGGGAGTGTCAGTGTTTCCAGAAGATTCTGACGGCCCTGCCCCCCCAACTGCCTGCGTGGTCTCCACCTCTCTGTGTCGGTGGCTTCCTGCCTCGTGCGGCGGTGCCTCCGTTGGCTCTGCTCTGTTGGGGGCTTCCAGGCGGCCCCGGGCGGGGTCACCACCAGCTCTCGCGCCCTCGCCGAATTCTCGCTCAGGGGAGGGGGTCACTTATGAACCACTTCATCCGCGCCGTGCAGAAATCCAGACACTGCCGTTTCTTCCCACCCCCCCCCCCTCCCGGTTTTTCGGCTAATGTGACCCCCCTGGGGTAATCGCATTCCAGTTTTCTGGGGTTGTGCAAATGTAAATTAGTCCACGCATGACTTATTTTTGGCTTTTAAACCCCACCACCCCATATAAATGGCACGTGGTGGTGTTTAGCAAACTACGCAGCGCCGTGCGTGATATACACCAACGATGTCAATGTTGAAAAGAGTTCAGGTTGGGCTTGGAGTATAAAAATTAACATTCAGGCGTGCTTTCTTTTTTATGTGCGGTTCCCAGGGATTTGTGTAAAATTAAATTCGTTAAATATTGTTCCCGCACAGAACACAAACGCCTCCACCATGACCTCTCTCGGTATGGCCTACAACGCACCGTTACAAGAGGACAGCGAGCCCAGGCAATGATATTGGTGACCTCAGAATAAATCTATACCGTGTGTGTATATATAGAGAGGAAAAAGAGCGAGAATAAAGCTGGAATTTGTTAATCTCACAAAAAGAAGAGCGTGTCTTTAATATTTAAAAATGAGTACCTTAATTTTTAATTGCATTAATTATTAATGGAAAATTAAACGGGCAGAGAGAGACACACACACACACAACACATCCTGCATTGATTCCACATTCATCACACGCTCATCAATAAAACATCTAGCAAGACGAATTTATGTATCCGGCCGCAGCTACCGCACACAGCTCTCGACCTTTTTAAATTACAGAAAAGCGTGCAATGGTGCGAGAAAATTATTACGGCTTCATCCCCTGTACGCTCAACTCTCCGCGGATTCCAACACTGCGCAGACATACACCTCTACAGCAAGGATGCTGAACTCGTGTAATCTGCGTGTTACGTAACCACGGGGTTTATGAAAACTGGGTCATATTGCAGCAAAGCGTTACTTGTTTCTCCGTTTTAAAACCTCGGGGTGAGCTACTGCTCGATTGCTCGGTATGTGGAGCTGTGGAGAAAGAGCAGGGGAGGTCTGCTGGAGCCTGGAGGCAAGGGATGGAGTGAGGGCACTGGGTAGGGCCAGATAGACTTAGAGCACGGGTGGAGCTGGGTATTGTAACGTTCTTGCGCGCCCCTACCGGCCATCTGTGGAAAAGAGCTTTGTAGCTCATCGGATTCCTCCTGCAGAGATTCTGATTCTGAAGGATGGACTAGGGAGTGTGGAGCATGCGAGTCGCGTGGAGTGAGAGGAAGAGTGGAGCTTTTGGAAGGGTGACGCAAGGGAGCCGGGTGCAGCGAGGGGGGTGGGCGCAGCGAGGGGAAGGTTGGAGCGAGGCAGCCGGGTGGGGCGAGGGGGAGGGTGGAGCGAGGGATGAACCCCCCCGTTTTATTTAAAGCGTAATCGTTCCCCGACGCTGCTTGCGAATTATTTTTTGAGGATTTTAATTAGCGCGAGACGCTCCCTCTCCTCTGCGGCTTAGGTGCAGTGGGCAGCGAGGCAGTTGCGGACAGAACTGCACTGGATTGTGATTACATTTTTAATTTGCGGTGACACGGCCACTGCTTTGCCAAAATCAACTTCCGGTCACAGGACTGCAATGATATTCGCGTGCTTTTCCAGCAAACTGTGCCAATCGGAGGAGACCGTGAGCTCATTCTATTGGCTAGGTGCCCTGGATGCTTCAAGATGAATTCTTGATCGTGTAGTGGTATAATCATCTCTAAACTGCTTAACAATGCAAAGCCCATTATACAACAGTAATTATCCGTGTTAGGTGACTCGTTAAATATATATATGTGTGTGTGTGTAATTCCCCATTTTGTCCCTCTGTGGCGCCCGCAACTGCGCTCGCTGCGAGTTCTCCTCTCACCGCTACCCGCACGCGCATCGGTGCAGCTCGGAACGCATCCGCGCTCCCGAACGACAAGGGAAGAGGCGAAAACTTTGAACGCAACGGCTTCTAAATATAGGCCGTGCCCCGTGGGCCAGAAGCCATGAAGCGGCTCCTGACGTCGCCTCGCCACGCTCACGGTGCCCGGAACCGACGGTCCTTCAAGAGATGTCCGCTTGCAGCGATTCGCGTGCAAAGTAACGTAAAAAAAAAATTACACGGACGTGACAAAGACACGGAGTGTGCATCAAACCGGAGTTAACTGAAGCGACCGCCGGGAAGGGCAGCAGAGCCCTGCAAAATCCCCGCTGGCGACTTGACAGACTGGCAGCGGCTGGCAGTGCTCTGCAGTGCTTGGCAGCAGTGGTGCGCTAATTAATTAGGGCTGGGGAGAGGCAGCCCATATGCTGAGAGCAGTCCAGAGGGCAGGGGTACACGGCAGAGGGCAGGCCCTGAGCGCAGCCTGGTGCCCACCAAACTGTCTATGTTACTGGGCTCACGGTGGTTGACGGTCCACGTGGGTTCTGACTGCAATTTCAAGTTGCCTGTGGATGTCGGTGGGCAGGATCTCACCTGCGGGCGCAAGAGAACTGGGATTTGAGGAATGGCTTGAGAAACGAGACTGCTTTGAGGGCAAGTCGAGGCTGTGGGTATGAGTTGGGAAAGGTCCGTGTCCACGGGGTCGGTGTTGGTGCTGTCAGGGTTTGTGGGATCAGAGTTAATGGGGTTTGGGGGTTGGTGGGGTTGTGGTTGGGAGGCGTTGGTGCGGTGGGATTGTGGAGTTGAGTTTGGCAGGGTTGGGGCCGGTGTGGTCAGAGTTTGTGTGCTCAGGGTGGACGGGGTTCGTGCTGAGGCTGAGCTGAAGGGTGAAGATTTCGCTGCTGATGCTGCTGCCACTGCTTTCATCCTTGCGAGGGGGGCGATCACAGCACGCACTTTAGTCCGACATGAAACAAGTTTCGTTCATAACGCTGCGTTCACCGTAAAGCGTGTTAATCTGTCATCGACATGGCCACAGGCAAAACGAAAGCCTTGTGAACTCGCCAAGGAAAATTGGTTTGAGACGGTCTCCCGGTTCGACCACCACTCCAAAACTGGGAAGATTTTGCGCTCGCGCACAACGTTGAAACGTGAAACAAAGCTCCATATGAATGCTGGCATCTGGACTTCTTTTGATAAGAATGCCCTTTCAGTTTAACGGGACTCCCTTTGTTTGACACTTCCATTCCAATCTCTCTCTTCCGTCACGCCTCTTCTCGTGACATACTTCTGAGCGCAGGGAAGCTCCTTTGTGAGGAACATGTCATCATCTCACGCTTACGTAATTATGCATATTTCATATTTTTGGGGAAATTACTGCCGGTGAATAGTCATCAGGGGCCCGCTTTAATGATAATCTTGAGTTTTGTAAATGCGGTTGCTATTTCACGATGATGGGATTACTTGGCTGGCTCCGATCTATCTCGCAAACACTTCGCTGCCACGATTCTCGTCACCTCCTCCTCCTCTTAGCGAGCGAATTTATTTAATCAACTCTCGGCTTCCTAGAACTTTTCAGTA